CTTAAATGGAAGAAGTTTGGAACCACCAAGACTCTTCCTAGAGCTGGCCGCCCGGCCAAACTAAGCAATCGGGGGAGAAGGGCCTTGGTCAGGGAGGTGACCAAGAACCCGATGGTCACTCTGACAGAGCTCGAGTTCCTCTGTGGAGATGGGAGAACCTTCCAGAAGGACAACCATCTCTGCAGCACTCCACCAATCAGGCCGTTATGGTAGAGTGGCCAGACTGAAGCCACTCCTCAGTAAAAGGCACATGACAGCCCGCTTGGGGTTTGCCAAAAGGTATTTTAAAGGACTCTCAGACCATGAGAAACAAGATTCTCTGGTCTGATGAAACCAAGATTGAACTCTTTGGCCTGAATGCCAAGCGTCATGGAAATCTGGCACCATCCCTACGGTGAAGCGTGGTGGCAGCATCATGCTGTGGGGATGTTTTTCAGCGGCAGGGACTGGGAGACTTGTCAGGATCGAGGGAAAGATGAACGGAGCAATGTACAGAGAGATCCTTGACGAAAACCTGCTCCAGAGTGCTCAGGACCTCAGACTGGGGCGAAGGTTCACCTTCCAACAGGACAACAACCCTAAGCACACAGCCAAGACAACACAGGAGTGACTTTGGGACAAGTCTCTGAATGTCCTTGAGTGGCCCAGCCAGAGCCCGTTCTTGAACCCGATCGAACTTCTCTGGAGAAACCTGAAAATAGCTGTGCAGTAACGTTCCCCATTTAACCTGACAGAGCTTGAGAGGATCTGCAGAGAAGAATGGGAGAAACTCCCCAAATACAGGTGTGCCAAGCTTGTAGCGTCATACCCAAGACTCAAGGCTGTAATCACTGTCAAAGGTGCTTCAACAAAGTACTGAGTAAAGAGTCTGAATACTTATGTTAATGTGATATTTCCGTTTTTAATTTTTTATACATTTGCAAACATTTCTAAAAACCTGTTTTTGCTTTGTCATAAAGGGGTATTGTGTGTAGATTGATGAGGGGGGAAATACTATTTAATAAATGTTATAATAAAGCTTTAACGTAAAACAAAATGTGGAAAAGGTCAAGGGGTCTGAATACTTTCCGAAGGCACTGTATAGGTTTGTTTATGCATGGATATCATATAAATGATAGGAGGCGGTCTACGCTTTTTAAAGGTCCTTATTACAAAATATTGTCGGTTCCAGGTGCGTAGGTATCAAAATGAGAATACTGAAAGAGATGGAGACCCGCACTCGGTCGAAAAAAGAGGAACAAATCCAAAACTGAGGCTTCAATGCAAAAATAAAGTTCGGCACCATGATGTCCAAATAAAACATTTTTTTATTTTTGCATTGAAGCCTCAGTTTTGGATTTTTTCCTATTTTTCGACAGTGTGTGGGTCTCCATCTCTTTCATTTTGCATGGATATCATAGAAATAATCTTCCAAAAACAGAAAATTAGCTTGGATCTCATTAGAGAACTCTTTCTCTGCCTCTGAATAAACATTAGCTTGGAGCGCTCTCCTGCGTTAGCCCCCAGGAGCAGCCTGGCATTTTACGCAAGCTGGAGGTGTAATGTTACACTCAAATGCATGTGTACACACACATACGCACACTCACAAACACACACACACACACTGACACACACACACTTTGTTGGCATTATGCAACACTGGTCCAGCAGGAAATTAAGCCTTCTGGGTTCTTCAGAGAGAGAGCGCAATATAAATGGACATACAGTTTCAGAGTGAGCGACTGACAGAATGAGAGAGAGAGTTTTTGTTATGTTTACATTTTTTATTTTTTTACACATGTATTGGCCTATTTGAAATGATCATTCCAGTACAGTGTACTAGAACGGAAAGAATGACCGACCAGGAGCTGTGGGTGACCAGTGATGCTGGGACTTGACCTAAGCTGTGTGTGGGTGTGCTTTAGCTCGCTCCTCCAACTCAGCCCACTCTGTGTTAATGTTCAGTGGGAAGTTATACAACACAACTGAGCCACTGTTGCATTTGTTTAAAGAGAATACAGCCACGCACTACTCCTGACACTTTGTCATCCCGTCTGTTCCCCTCCCTGCTCTGCCGCACCAAATGTCACTGATCCCCCTAACCCATTTCCTCCCATATTTTCAGCCGCACACAAGCCTAAGATCACCATGCACAATTCCAAGCGTTGGCTGGAGTGGTGTAAAGCTCGCCGCCATTGGACTCTGGAGCAGTGGACACGCGTTCTCTGGAGTGATGAATCACGCTTCACAATCTGGCAGTCCGACGTACGAATCTGGGTTTGGCGGATGCCAGGAGAACGCTACCTGCCCCCAATGCATAGTGCCAACTGTATAGTTTGGTGGAGGAGAAATAATGGTCTGGGGCTGTTTTTCATGGTTCGGTCTAGGCCCCTTAGTTCCAGATCTTAACGCTACAGCATACAATGACATTCTAAACTATTCTGTGCTTCCAACTTTTTGGCAACAGTTTGGGGAAGGCCCTTTCCTGTCTCAGCATGACAATGCGAGGTCCATACCGAAATTGTTTGTCAAGATCGGTGTGGAAGAACTTGACTGGCCTGCACAGAGCCCTGACCTCAACCCCATCGAACACCATTGGGATGAATTGGAATGCCGACTGCGAGCCAGGCCTAATTGCCAAACATCAGTGCCCAACCTCACTAATGCTCTTGTGGCTGAATGGAAGCAAGTCCCCGCAGCAATGTTCCAGCATCTAGTGGAAAGCCTTCCCAGATGAGTTGAGGCTGTTAAAGCAGCAAAGGGGAGACCAACTCCATATTAATGGCCATGATTTTGGAATGAGATGTTCGACAAGCAGGTGTCCACATACTTTTGGTCATATAGTGTACCAATGGATAGGATGCCTTGGTTGACTAACAATGGAGAGATTGTAAGCAACTGGGATTTACTTTATGTGCACTGGTGAAGTTACTATTTTAACATTCTTCTTGATCCAGTGACTTCTTTAGCTTCTCGACGCTTACCCTCTGGTGACTTGTTGGTGCTGTTGGCGACATAGAAACGTCATTACTCATCCATGCCAGAGTTGATACTGACAACTTCATCTGTCTTCTGTTAATTTGAGGTTTTGGTCTTCTTGAGCGCTCATTTGTTTCTGCCTCTTTGAACGCTGGTCAGTGTTATCCAGTAACAGGTGTGAGCAATATACCAACTGAGCCATGTTACTTGCTTTTGGGGGAGAGTTTTTTTGTTTTGTGTATGTGTGTTGTTCACATACATAGTCAGTAGTGAGCGCAGCATCAGCTTGTTTCCCAGAACACCCTGCAGACGAATTGTCTGGAGATTAATCCAGGCAGGCGTCATGGAATCTGTCATGGAGACGGCAGGGTGACCTCACTGCTCAGTGGAATGGAACACCTGTCCATCAAATGTGACAGGATGTAGTGTGAGCTAAATCCAGAAGGCAACCCTCGGGGATGACCTTGGCTCATCCACAGTGAAGTCCCCTGACTGACCAGGGCTAAATACAGCTCATCACTGCCTGATGCGAATTCCCCTTATCTAGCCTACCTAGAAGCTTGTTATCAGAAGCCTGTTCTTAGAAGCTTCCTTTCAGAATCATCATACCAAAGTGATATTGCTCACAAACTTTGTGATGAAATACTCACAGCCTAGCACTTTTTGCATTTTCATACACTTGTCTTTAAAAACCTAATTGATGGATATTACCCAGGGAAGCGTGAAGCGTGCTTAAATAAAAGCTCCCTTTGCTGAGGCAGTGCATTTATTATGGTTTATAATGTAATGAGGTCACTAGGGTCACTGCTGATCCTCATCGTAGCGTAGAGGAGCATGGTGACTTATGGGGCATTGGCTTGGCGGCCAGGTGCAGGTATTAGCATTAGCCGTGGGGAGTTAAATGTGTAATGACTGACTGCTCATTCTAAAACCCACACTCTGGTGTGTACCACTACATCCTATACCCCATTTTAGTGTGGAGACATGGAGGGGGGGGTGCATGGGGGTTTGTGTGAGTGTGTAAGTAAGATGGGTCAGAATAGTAGGTATTTATTTAGGCTTGACCAGATCTGTTGGCCTGGTCAGATCTGCTGGAGTGCTTTTAGGCTTATGGAAACAGGCTTTAATTCCATTTCAATCCGTTTTATTAGCCAACGACCTCAGGCTATCTATTAGCAAGCAGCCACTACCAGGATTACATTGGATGGAAAGGGGCACGAAACTCCCCAAATCAAAGGGAATACAGGTTTTTTTCTGTATAAAAAGTGTCTAAGGTTGTGGGCGTGGCAGGGGGTGTGGCAATGAGCTTTGTCAGTCAGTCGGTGTGCCTGCATTTTGGAGAGGATTTTAGAGGCAGTGTAGAGACATTTGTACATTTTTTAGCTAATTTCCTGCAATTATACATATTCTGCCATGAGCTGAGAGAAAATGTTGACGTTTTAAAGCTAGTTTCCTGCAATTCTATGCATTTTGCTATGGCTAATGCTGTGTTCTTTTGCTCAAACATAATAAAATCAATACTGCTAAATAGATTTTTGGGGGAATTTTCAATTCTCTCTGACTGACAGTCTAGCTTTATTTTGGTGATTGTTAGTTCTCAAAGATAATATTGTAAAAAATATATAGGTCCATTATCTTTTTTGCATACTTTATATCTGGTTTTAGTCGTTCACGTTTACACTGAAAGCGTTATTCCATCCCGAAAATGTATATATATTTTTTAGGCTGTTTTGGACTTAGGCGACCCGAAAAAACGCTTAGGCGGCCCGCCCAAGGATTACAATGGCAGACAAATCCCTGGAATAGAACATTAGCAGAGAGACCGTGAGAGGGAAAGACACCCAGACTGAGATGATACTGCAAACAGCAGAAAACAACTCAAGTAAAGGACAGAAAAAAAGAGGGAAGATAATTTGTCAGGTGGCTGCTGGTGGGGGCTATGGCACGGCCCTCTTTTGCCCTCCTGGTGTGAAGATTGCCATGATAACAGGCGCTGTACCTAACAACCAGGAGAAGAGCTTGAGCACTGGTGAGGGATGAACATGGAGCCTGTACGGCAAGTGGGAGGCATGGAGCTGCAAGCGGGAGCCATGGCACAGGCACACAAACACAGGGTGAGTGAGATTGGCCAGAGAGGGTGAGTGGTATTTCTGAGAACCGCTCCATAGAAACCCTCTATGACCGTGCTCTGCAGCCTGACCTTGCTTAGGAAGATTATTTGAACTTAATGTCATTTTTGGAGCCTTTTTTGTTATGCTTAGTTTATTGTTGGGAGAGGTTGGGAGCTTTCAACACCCTTAGGTGTGATATAAGTCACATTGTAGAAAAGTTACAATGGCAGCCAGCCATTTAATGCTGACTTTCTCAATTATAGTAGTAAGGTAGAGAGAGACAATCTCTCCTTCTAAGCATATGCTGTCAAATGTTTTTGTTTGTTTGCAGTTGATAGAGGTCAGCTTTCTGAAAGAGGATTATGGATGTGTACTGTATTTTTCTGTTGTGCTGTCCCTGTTCTCTACACAAATGGAGTGGATCATTGACTGAATGCAATAGAGAGTAAGTAGTAAGGCTGAGTCCCTCTTGCCTGTAGTCTGAAATGGAAACCCTCATTCTTATTCATAGCATATAGGGGAATAGAATAGGCCAACTGAAGAATAGAGAGAGAAACTGTGGAAAAATAGTGTGTTAAGTCTTGCCATTGGTTCAAGTTGAGCCTCAGTTAAAGGAAATATAGGGAATGGAGGGAGCATGTCCTGTGTATTCCAAGTAGTAGAATAGACACATACTTACCTCAGCATCCCACATAATAAAATGTGCTTACACATACTGTATACCTTTACAACAACGACAACATATAAACCAATAAAACAATCTTAATCTCTTTGTACTCCTAGTGCTTTGGCAGAGTGCCTCTGGACTTTGAGCCCTTGTTCTTTTTAACACTGAGACTGTTCTGTCTCAGTTGTGGCTGAATTTAAGAAAGGATTGGGCTTGTGCACTTTGCGGAAATGAAAAGAACTGCATTCCAAAGACAGTTTGTGGAGAAACCTCCATATCCATCCCTCCCTGCCTCGACTTAGCAAGGAGGATAGAGTTACAGCTGCTGCTGTGCAAGGTATTCATCTCAGGTTGTGAGGATTTAAAGTATGCAGAGATCCCTGGCTTTTTGTTTGGGAACCAGTCCTGCAGGCATAAAATGTGATGCAAGCACAAAACGTGCTGAAAGTGGTAGATACAATCAAAACATAAACATTTCCATTGGTGATTCTCTGTATCCTGTCACTACCCAACCAGGTCCTCACCTGCATGTGGAGGTATGCACATTCAACCAGAACTGTGTGACCCCGACTCAACCTCCAGGGATAGGTTGCTACCCAGGGAATCTCTGAGAATACTGTCAACTTGGCACTTGTCCTGCCTCGACTAGCCAGCAGAAACAAAACCAAAGAAATCAGTACTCGCTATTATACTGTTTGTGTCAGACACACTGAGTAATGTGTGGGCTGCAATCATGAGAATTATCTGAATGTGTTTAGGCATATGTGTGCATGCGTCGGTGACTCTGTATGTCTGTGTGTTTTGTGCATGCCCTGTGGTTTAGTCTCTACAGTCTACAATGATCTATCTGAGAAAAGGGACCTATGAAATAGGCTACATTTTAAATTAGTTTCCACCACTGTCAACTGAGTGTTAACCTTGAATAGAGCTTTATTGATTGGATTCACATGACTGCGCTTTGTCATTTGCTATTGGTGCTTTAGCCTTTATACAGACACAATTTTGGGGGGAATGTTCCTGTGCAAAATGTGAAGTTGGTTCATTTATGGTCCCACTGCCCTCAATCCGTATAAAGACCCACTGGCATGCTAACACCATATCCAATGTCCCTCTCTAGCCTCCAGCTCCAGTTTAACATGCTTATGTTCTCACTGTATTCTTCAAATACTGGGGAGATTATCTCACCCACATTCACCTCTGGCTCTGTTTAGACCTCCCCAGGAACCACACGCAGGACGTAGAGTGGGTTAGCCAAGCATATATTGGTTATGCAAGGGGTTATAGTTGCGTAATACCTTCATAGACCTTATCTGCTTACTGCAGACTGCCAATGAGAGATCCAAATATTACAGTTGGAGTTTTTAAAACGCTGGTAGCTACCAAAGACCCAAGAAGCTATAGGACCTTTTTGCTAAGAGAACACACCCTGTTCAGAATGTCATTATATAGGATTGTATAATGCTTTTTAAGCGCCTCAGTTTGCAAGAGATGTTTTATCTCGTCTATCTTAGCATTCTTGTGTTGCGTGACTTTCGGTTGAGGTCAGTGTGTCATGATTCATGACACATTACCTATATTTGTATGAAACCTTTCTAAAACACGTCAGAAGGTGTTTCTCATGTGAATCTGTAAGACTGTGTGCAGTCGATGTGGATGTGAGGAGGAACTAGTTTGGACACATTTCCCTTTAGGGAGCCAGTTCTGAGGGCCATAAATAGGCCTAGACTTCAGACGTGGTTCTCTGTACGTTGGAGAGATGCGTTGTTGTTTTTAAACTGGGCTCCATTGCAACACAAAAACAGTCTGACACCGCCATTGATAGCCATTTGTACAGTAGTCTATATTTCTTGGACAAGATCATGTTCCTCGATAACCATAAAACTGTCAGACTGGACAGACCATGGAAATGGCACTTGGAATAGCCTTGTCAGTTCAGTGGAACTCTTATTTCTATGCTATCCACACACCAGCTCAGTATTTGAAGCCTCTTCAAAAGTGAAAGACGTCACTTCACTAAAGATGGCTTTTAACCTCAAGTGACGACACTTCTCAATGAACTGACACTTCTCAATGAACTGACGTCTGTTGGGTAACACAACTAACAAGTCTATTTTGGATTCTGTGCAATAAAAATAGATGCTCACCATTTCAGGATAGTTTTATCCTGATGTGTAAGTGTATTTAGGCTATACTACACACACTCTAGGTCACAAGCACATACCTGATTCAACTCCAACACCACAGAGTGGTTTATCTGAGAAAGCATTCAAATTCAAGTGCTCTCTTAGAAGTGAACAGAGAGTCCTTATGATATCTCAAGGCTTAATGTGAATATATCCCCTTGCATACATATCCATTCACAATTTATGACTTTAAACTACTTTTACATGAAAACTAATATGCCAAACCAATTCTCTCATCAAGTTACAATACAATGTTTTGTTTTATGCCACAGTATCTTTGTTTGATCACAGCCCTTACCCTGTTGATCACATACTGTAGCTTTGAATTAGTTACAAAGCACTATTATACAGTGGCTTGCTAAAGTATTCACCCCCCCCCTTGGCATTTTTCCTATTTTGTTGCCTTACAACCAGGAATTAAAATCAATTTTTTGGGGGGTTTGTATCATTTGATTTACACAACATGCCCACCAATTTGAAGATGCAAAATATTATTATTGTGAAACAAACAAGAAATAAGTTGAGCGTGCATAACTATTCAACCCCCAAAGTCAATACTTTGTAGAGCCACCTTTTGCAGCAATTACAGCTGCAAGTCTCTTGGGGTATGTCTCTATAATCTTGGCACATCTAGCCACTGGGATTTCTGCCCATTCTTCAAGGCAAAACTGCTCCAGCTCCTTCAAGTTGGATGGGTTCCGCTGGTGTACAGCAATCTTTAAGTCATACCACAGATTCTCAATTGGATTGAGGTCTGGGCTTTGACTAGGCCATTCCAAGACATTTAAATGTTTCCCCTTAAACCACTCAAGTGTTGCTTTAGCAGTATGCTTAGGGTCATTGTCCTGCTGGAAGGTGAACCTCCGTCCCAGTCTCAAATCTCTGGAAGACTGAAACAGGTTTCCCTCAAGAATGTCCCTGTATTTAGCGCCATCCATCATTCCTTCAATTCTGACCAGTTTCCCAGTCCCTGCCGATGGAAAAACATCCCCACAGCATGATGCTGCCACCACCATGCTTCACTGTGGGGATGGTGTTCTCGGGGTGATGAGAGGTGTTGGGTTTGCGCCAGACATTCCTTGATGGCCAAAAAGCTCAATTTTAGTCTCATCTGACCAGAGTACCTTCTTCCATATGTTTGGGGAGTCTCCCACATGCCTTTTGGCGAACACCAAACGTGTTTGCTTATTTTTTTCTTTAAGCAATGGCTTTTTTCTGGCCACTCTTCAGTAAAGCCCAGCTCTATGGCTTAAAGTGGTCCTATGGACAGATACTCCAATCTCCGCTGTGGAGCTTTGCAGCTCCTTCAGGGTTATCTTTGGTCTCTTTGTTGCCTCTCTGAATAATCCCCTCCTTGCCTGGTCTGTGAGTTTTGGTGGGCGGCCCTCTCTTGGCAGGTTTGTTGTGGTGCCATATTCTTTTCATTTTTTAATAATGGATTTAATGGTGCTCCGTGGGATGTTCAAAGTTTCTGATATTTTTTTATAACCCAACCCTGATCTGTACTTCTCCACAACTTTGTCCCTGACCTGTTTGGAGAGCTCCTTGGTCTTCATGGTGCCGCTTGCTTGGTGGTGCCCCTTGCATAGTGGTGTTGCAGACTCTGGGGACTTTCAGAACAGGTGTGTATATATACTGAGATCATGTGACAGATCACTTAGATTGCACACAGGTGGACTTTATTTAACTAATGATATGACTTCTGAAGGTAATTGGTTGCACCAGATCTTATTTAGGGGCTTCATAGCAAAGGGGCTGAATACATATGCAGGCACCACTTTTCAGTTATTTATTTTTTAGAATTTTTTGAAACAAAAAGTTATTTTTTTCATTTCACTTTACCAATTTGGACTATTTTGTATGTCCGTTACATGAAATCCAAATAAAAATCAATTTCAATTGCAGGTTGTAATACAACAAAATAGGAAAAACGGCAAGGGGAATGAATACTTTTGCAAGGCACTGTAGGTATTGGGTGATTTCTTGCGACCAGATCTTTTCATCTTTTGATCCAGGTTTCAAGTGAATTGAAGTTAGGGGATGTCAAAATTAGGGCTGTCCCCAACTAAAAACAATCTTCGTCGACCAAGAGTCGTCTGTTCTTTCGAACAATCGATTGGTTTACATTTTTTTACGTGTATTCTTCCATAAATGGACACATCCTATGTGTTTTAATTAAATCAACTATATGCACTGAGCTTGTCTGATGCTTTAAGCACACTGTTTGATTAAATAATTAAGACACAAAAAAGACTAGAGGGAGTCCGACCGCAATTTATATGATTGTGCCGGGCCTGGCTCAGACTTGCTGTGCTGTGAAAAAAAAAAAAAAAAAGACAGCGAGTGACTCTGTGACTAGCACCTGTTGTCTATCTCTCATCGCTGCTGCAACGACCACCACAGAACATGAACAGTATTTATCGCGCTGTCCATGTTGCTGAAGCTGCAACATAATTACAGCCATTTCTGACTGAAAAGTTGTGTCACGAAAAGAGAACAAGGGTTGAGGGAATAGGGAATGTTTTTCCTAAACAAATTAGGGATTTCAGTAACATATGTATGCATCGCATGCACGTGACCGATAGGGCCTGACCTAGAGCATATTATAATCACATCAATAACAAACACCGTAAAAGCAAAATGGATGCAGAGGACGTGACAAATACACTCGAAATTCGGGAATGTTTACTGGTTGCTCAGGAGGTAAAAGGGAAGTCAGATGTGTGGAATAAATTTGACTAGTTGTGGAAAGTACTGGAGATCAAGAAAAAGAAGGTAAGGAGCCAGCGCTGCGTGCATATTGTGTGTGCCAAACAGATGCTGTTAGATTACGATATAATTTTTCGGACCATTTTGGAACAATGTAAACAACACAAAAGCGTAACGGAGTCTGTAAAAATGTTTTATTAAGCCTTTATTACAGCAAAGACTAAAAACACTCGTATTCTTTTGTGAATGCAATTTCCGAAATGGAACGGTTTATTTAGTGTTTACGCTAATTATTCAAGGCTTGCTTTGTTATTTTATTTTTAAACTAAAATGCTTAATATGCTGTGTCATCACACGAACAAATGAATGATTTGATTGATACAGTAACCTATATAAGTATTGAAATAAAGGCCTAAGTAAGTTATGGTATTAAGACTTAACAGGATGCGCTCTTAGGCCTACAGCTCAATGTTGGTTATACAAGGCTGCTATACTAAGCCTACTAATGGTAATGACATTACTTATTATTATAATGATGATCATAATAATAATAATAATAATAGTAACAATAACAAGAAGGATATCAAGAAAAATGAGTGTTTTTAGTATAAATATGATTTTTCTGACAATTTGGAACAGTGTAAACAACACTAAATACATTATAAATAATACCAGAGCGGTTGTTCTAACGAAAAAAGTGTAAAGCCTTTATTACAGCAAAGCAAAGATTAAAAACAGCCAAATTTGTGAAATTGTTTATCCGACATGTTGTGGTTGCGTGAGGCTTGGTTCTTATGGAATCAGTAGGCAATTAAACAAAACACTCAAACAGGCAACAGAATCAGGATCTGTCTTATTTCTGTAGATATACAGTACCAGTCAAATGTTTGGACACCTACTCATTCCAGAGTTTTTCTTTATTTTTACTATTTTCTACATTGTAGAATAACAGTGAAGACATCAAAACTATGAAATAACACAAATGGAATCATGTAGTAACCAAAAGGTGTTAAACAAATCAAAATATATTTTATATTTGAGATTCCTCAAAGTAGCCACCCTTTGCCTTGATGACAGCTTTGCACACTCTTGGCTTTCTCTCAACCAGCTTCATGAGGTAGTCACCTGGAATTAATTTCTATTAACAGGTGTGCCTTGTTAAAAGTTAATTTGTGGAGTTTCTTTCCTTCTTAATGCGTTTGAGCCAATCAGTTGTGTTGAGACAAGGTACGGGTGGTATACAGAAGATAGCCCTATTTGGTAAAAGACCAAGTCCATATTATGGCAAGAATAGCTCAAATAAGCAAAGAGAAACGACAGTCCATCATTACTTTAAGACATGAAGGTCAGTCAATACGGAACATTTCAATAACTTTGAAAGTTTCTTCAAGTGCAGTCGCAAAAACCATCAAGTGCTATGATGAAACTGTCTCTCATGACGACCGCCACAGGAATGGAAGACCCGGAGTTCAAATCAAATCAAATTTTATTTGCCACATGAGCCGAATACAACAGGTGTATGCATTACCGTGAAATGCTTACTTACAGCACTTAACCAACAATGCATTTATTTCTTTATAAAAAGTAAAATAAAACAACAACAACAAAAAAGTGTTGAGAAAAAAAAGAGCAGAAGTAAAATAAAAGAACAGTAGGGAGGCTATATACAGGGGGGTACCGGTACAGAGTCAATGTACGGGGGCACCGGCTAGTTGAGGCTGGGGGGGCAGTGCAAATAGACCGGGTAGCCATGATTAGCTGTTCTGGAGTCTTATGGCTTGGGGGTAGAAGCTGTTGAGAAATCTTTTGGACCTAGACATGGTGCTCCAGTACCGCTTGCCGTGCGGTAGCAGAAAGAATTGTCTATGACTAGGGTGGCTGGAGTCTTTGACAATTTTGTGGGCCTTCCTCTGACACCGCCTGGTATAGAGGTCCTGGATGTCAGGAAGCTTGGCCCCAGTGATGTACTGGGCTGTACGCTCTACCCCAGGGGTGTCAAACTCATTTTAGCTCAGGGGCCACATGGAGGAAAATCTATTCCCAAGTGGGCCGGACCGGAAAAATCATGGTATATATAACTTAAAAACAACAACTTCAGATTGTTTTCTTTGTTTTAATACGATCAACATACAACATAAAGCTGGAGCCTGAGGACAGTGTGTCCAAAATAGTACAAGCACAACATCACTATTAATCATAAAACACGTCAAGTTTATTTGAAAATTCTAAAGAAAAAGAACACACAAACACACAATGCCTCAGTGATTAACAGAACTGTTTCACAGATCACAGAACTATATCAGGGTGTCATTTCTCAGGCAGAAATGTAGATAAAAATAATGAAATCCTGTTCCCCAAACAAGTGCAAGAACCACAGAGTCAAGAATAGGTTAAATATACAAATAAAATAAAATAAAATCAATTAAAAACAATAGCACATCAACATAAAAACATATAAACATAAATCTGAAAGCGTTGCTCAAACTCCCGTAACAGTCCGTTATTTTATCTTTGAACCGCTTCATGTCTGCCACATGTTGGGTCGCGCACACATTTTTCAGACAGGGGAAGTGAGCTGCATCACCACCGGCAAGTTGCGTCTCCCACAATGACAGCTTCAACTTGAAAGAACGTATGCTGTCATAATACTGCGTGACAACTTTGTTGCGCCCTTGCAGCTGTTTGTTCAAGTTATTCAGGTGCTCTGTAACATCCACCATAAATGCAAGGTCCTGCATCCATTCTGCGGAATGAAATTCTAACACTGGTTTGCCCTTTTCTTCCATGAACTGTTCAATTTCTTCTCGTAAATCAAAGAAACGCCTCAGCACAGCACCTCGGCTTAACCATCTTACCTCAGTGTGGTATGGCAGGCCATAGATGTGGTCTTTCTCTCTGAGAAGGCTGTCAAACTGACGGTGATTCAGGCTGCTGGATCGGATGAAATTAACAGTTTGGATGACCACCTTCATGACGTTATCCATCTTTAATGACTTGCAACACAAAGCCTCCTGGTGCAAAATACAGTGAAAAGTCAAAAAATCACGTCCTCCATTTGCAGATTGCACTTTCTCTCTGAACTTTGTCACAACGCCTGCTTTTTTCCCGATCATTGAGGGCGCACCATCTGTAGCCAGGCTGACAGTGCGGGACCAGTCCACTCCGACCCTGTCCAGCGCGCCGACGAGTGCGGTAAAAATATCAGCTGCTGTCGTTGTATCTGTCATCGGCACCAACTTCACGAACTCCTCTGTGACGGTCAATGTGTCATCAACTCCGCAGATGAAAATGGCCAGTTGTGCAACATCTGTAATGTCCGTGCTTTCATCAATTGCAACCGAAAACGCAATAAATGACTTTACTTTTCGCTTCAACTGGCTGTCCAAATCCACTGAAAGATCGGAAATCCTGTCTGCAACTGTGTTTCTTGTCAGGCTGATATTTGCAAAAGCCTGCCGCTTTTCAGGGCACACAATCTCCGCTGCCTTCATCATGCATGTTTTTACAAATTCACCCTCACTAAATGGTTTTGAAGCCACTGCGATTTCATTAGCAATGAGGTAGCTAGCTTTCACTGCAGCGTCACTGATGTCTCGGCTGTGAGTAAACACAGACTGCTGTTTCTTCAGACCCGCCAACAGTTCATTCACCTTCTCTCATCTCCGCTGTCCTTGAAAGTTGTCATATTTGTCGGCATGAAGACTCACATAGTGGCGACGAAGGTTATATTCTTTCAGCACTGCAACATGCTCTGAACACACCAAACATACAGCTTTCCCATTCAATTCCGTGAATAAATAGGATGACCATTTTTCTTGGAACACTGCACTCTGCGTCCACTTTTCTCTTTTTTGACAGAGACATATTGGGGCAATGAGGGTGCCAAAGCACATCATGTTAAAAGTAGAAGCCGTAATAAATATCGCGGGCAAAACAAAGTAGCTCATTGGCTGCACGTGCTTGACCTACTTGCTCTGCCCCGGTATGAACAGTTTGCTTGCTTAACACAATTGCTATTGCGCCATCCAGTGGACGCAATTGGAACAGCAGTTTATTTTATTGAAAAATTGCAGCGCATTTTTATACTTTACCAAATCATCTCGCGGGCCGGATTAAACCCGTTTGCGGGCCTGATCCGGCCCGCGGGCCGTACGTTTGACACCCCTGCTCTACCCTCTGTAGTGCCTTGCGGTCTGAGGCTGAGCAGTTGCCATACCAGAAAGTGATGCAACCAGTCATGATGCTCTCGATGGTGCAGCTGTAGAACTCTTTATTTATTTATTTATTTATTTATTTATTATAATTTTTTTCTCTGGGGGAATGGATCAGCTTAATATTGCAGATAGATTGTATCTTCTATCAATGTAATTGTCTGCATCACTTCCAATCCCCCATGTTTTTAAAAAATATATATACTCCCCTTCATTACTTTTCAACCCCACCATCCTTTCCCTACTTGGAGTAAATTAGTGAACAACAATGCCCAGGCCCCTACTTCCGGTCTATACTTACTATCTACACCTTATGGACAGAGTTAATTTTACAATAATTCTATTATATATATATTTTTTTTTGCTCCTGAACTTCTTCTACTCTCAACCTCTCCGATCATTTTCATGATGTCCATCCGGTTTGCTTCTATATGCCATATCTTTCTAACTGTGCTCTTTCCCAAAAGCTCCCAACATACAACCTATATACTTATTATGAACACAGTATGCTTACATTATTAGCTATCTTTGTTATTATTTGTTGTTATTTGTTATTAGTCCCATCCTTCAACTCTATTCAATACCTCCCATCTATCTCTTAACACCATCCATATAGGATTTCTATTTGCCATACAGTGGGGGAAAAAAGTATTTAGTCAGCCACAATTGTGCAAGTTCTCCCACTTAAAAAGACGAGAGAGGCCTGTAATTTTCATCATAGGTACACGTCAACTATGACAGACAAATTGAGAAAAAAAATCCTGAAAATCACATTGTAGGATTTTTAATGAATTTATTTGCAAATTATGGTGGAAAATAAGTATTTGGTCACCTACAAACAAGCAAGATTTCTGGCTCTCACAGACCTGTAACTTCTTCTTTAAGAGGCTCCTCTGTCCTCCACTCGTTACCAGTATTAATGGCACCTGTTTGAACTTGTTATCAGTATAAAAGACACCTGTCCACAACCTCAAACAGTCACACTCCAAACTCCACTATGGCCAAGACCAAAGAGCTGTCAAAGGACACCAGAAACAAAATTGTAGACCTGCACCAGGCTGGGAAGACTGAATCTGCAATAGGTAAGCAGCTTGGTTTGAATAAATCAACTGTGGGAGCAATTATTAGGAATTGGAAGACATACAAGACCACTGATAATCTCCCTCGATCTGGGGCTCCACGCAAGATCTCACCCCGTGGGGTCAAAATGATCACAAGAACGGTGAGCAAAAATCCCAGAACCACACGGGGGGACCTAGTGAATGACCTGCAGAGAGCTGGGACCAAAGTAACAAAGCCTACCATCAGTATCACACTACGCCGCCAGGGACTCAAATCCTGCAGTGCCAGACGTGTCCCCCTGCTTAAGCCAGTACATGTCCAGGCCCGTCTGAAGTTTGCTAGAGTGCATTTGGATGATCCAGAAGAGGATTGGGAGAATGTCATATGGTCAGATGAAACCAAAATAGAACTTTTTGGTAAAAACTCAACTCGTCGTGTTTGGAGGACAAAGAATGCGGAGTTGCATCCAAAGAACACCATACCTACTGTGAAGCATGGGGGTGGAAACATCATGCTTTGGGGCTGTTTTTCTGCAAAGGGACCAGGACGACTGATCCGTGTAAAGGAAGGAATGAATGGGGCCATGTATCGTGAGATTTTCAGTGAAAACCTCCTTCCATCAGCAAGGGCATTGAAGATGAAACGTGGCTGGGTCTTTCAGCATGACAATGATCCCAAACACACCGCCCGGGCAACGAAGGAGTGGCTTCGTAAGAAGCATTTCAAGGTCCTGGAGTGGCCTAGCCAGTCTCCAGATCTCAACCCCATAGAAAATCTTTGGAGGGAGTTGAAAGTCTGTGTTGCCCAGCGACAGCCCCAAAACGTCACTGCTCTAGAGGAGATCTGCATGAAGGAATGGGCCAAAATTCCAGCAACAGTGTGTGAACCTTGTGAAGACTTACAGAAAACGTTTGACCTGTGTCATTGCCAACAAAGGGTATATAACAAAGTATTGAGAAACTTTTGTTATTGACCAAATACTTATTTTCCACCATAATTTGCAAATACATTCATAAAAAATTCTACAATGTGATTTTCTGGATTGTTTTCCCACATTCTGTCTGTCATAGTTGACTTGTACATATGATGAAAATTACAGGCCTCTCTCATCTTTTTAAGTGGGAGAACTTGCACAATTGGTGGCTGACTAAATACTTTTTTCCCCACTGTATACATTTCAACCGTACTGTGATGTTTTACAAAAGTTCTGAACCTTTCTATTCTCATTGCTTCTACAGATTGTGAATTAAAAATAAACCTTTTTGCTAAAAGTATTATTATATTATTGATTGATTGACTATGACTTTTCAGCTGTAGAACTCTTTGAGGATCTGAGGACTCATGCCAAATCTTTTCAGTCTCCTGAGGGGGAATAGGCTTTGTCGTGCCCTCTTCACGACTGTCTTGGTGTGTTTGGACCATGATAGTTCGTTGGTGATGTGGACACCAAGGAACTTGAAGCTCTCAACCTGTTCCACTACAGCCCCGTCGATGAGAATGGGGGCGTGCTCAGTCCTCTTTTTTTTCCTGTAGTCCACAATCATCTCCTTTGTCTTGGTCACGATTCCAAATGTGTTATTTCATAGTTTTGATGTCTTCGCTATTATTCTACAATGTAGAAAATAGTACAAATAAAGCAAAACCCTTGAATGAGTAGGTGTGTCCAAACTTTTGACTGGTACTGTATATGGATTATTTATAAAGCCAGGCACATTTAACAGTTCGGCTATTGATTCTAGACCTAATTAAGTTGGTTTCCTCTCTCCATACTTTTCTTAGGCAATAAGGCAAGGGCTGTTTTCTTGTCTCCACATTCTGCTGCCTCCTTCGCTTTGTTCTCAACACCAATATGCTGTTTATCTTTGCTATTATGCACATAACAACATGGTCTAGGAAAAGGCGTCAATTCAACAGCGCACTGATGTTTCAGACCTGTGGACAGCCAATGCGGGAGAAAGCACATTTGTTATAAAATAACATTTTTATTAGTGTTGCACCATTGTTCTTACGTAATATAACCATATACAATTTCAGTAGCACATGTCTTAGGGTGATGGACTGTGCCATCCTCACTGCCTCCACAATGGATTAGTCCACTCAGACAGGTGCGAATCAGACAGAACATGAATTATTATTATTATTTTTATTTTTTTGCTACTGCTCGCCTAAAGAAATCTCAGTTGACCAACAGCCTATCGGCCAAACAATCGACCAGTAGACTAAATGGGGTCAGCCCTAGTCTAAATTGTACCCTCTTTTGCTCCTTCAGCAAATCCAGTTTGTGGAAGACAAGCAGGAGTTCAGCAGGTTCCCTACCAAGGCTGGCCGACGCTCGCTGTCTCGATCCATCTCTCAGTCATCCACCGACAGCTACAGCTCCGGTACTACACAAGCACACACACACACGCAGCTATGTATGGATTGCTTGACCCTTTCTTGCTGACTTTCCCCTCTCTGTCTCCTTTCCCAGCTGCGTCCTACACGGACAGCTCTGATGATGAGACTTCACCACGGGACAAAACACAGCTCAACTCCAAGGGCACCAGTGACTTCTGTGTGAAGAACATCAAACAGGCCGAATTTGGTCGTCGCGAGATTGAGATTGCAGAACAAGGTACAATAAAATGGCTCTGTAACCTGTCACCCTCACCTCTCACACACAGAACAACCCAAGACAATAAGAAGTGATAAACCTCAAAACATTCCTAGGGGGCTCCAGGTGTAAAGTACTTGTTGTTGGTTATTTAAAGCATGTTCTTGAAATTTGCTGTCTTATGGCATGAATCAATTAGTCTAATCAATGGTTAACAGTCTTTGATCATAGGTAATATCATAGTTAATAAAACCACTACTGGCATCAATCAGGATGCAAAGAGCAACAAAAACATTTCTGTGAACAACAGAGAGTAAAGTATATCTAAATCTAAATATTGCTCTTGCCAGGGCCTGTAGTGCAGAAATATATTAGAGTCCCACCCTCCAAGGCCAGGATTTGCCAAATCAGATTAACCAAGACACTGATTGGAGGGGAGAATCTGGGATAAGAAAAGAACAGCTTCGCTCAGTTCTGTGATTGACTGATATACGGGCCCCTTGGGCCCTGTGTAGCTCAGTTGGTAGAGCATGGCGTTTGCAACGCCAGGGTTGTGGGTTCGATTCCCACGGGGGGCCAGTATGAAAGAAAAAAAAAATGTATGCACTCACTAACTGTAAGTCGCTCTGGATAAGAGCGTCTGCTAAATGACTAAAATGTAAATGATATACTCTAGCAGCTAGAGTCTAGCTAGTTATCTATAGTAGCTTGTTATCTATATTCAGATTGACCTCGACCAATCTGTCTGCAGATATGGCTTCTGCTCTTAAGGGCCTCCTGTGTCGAATTATTAGACTATTCTTTGGTTTTGCTGATCAGTCATTTGAAGTGTAACACACACAAGCCACATCAGAAAGAGAAACATATTATGCAGAAAAATCTAAAGATTCACTAGGCCTAACTAGGGCTGTGGTGGTCATGACATTTAGTCAGCTGGTGATTGTCAAGCAAATAACTGCCGGTCTCACTGTAATTGACCGCTAATTACCATAAACACGTCTAGCATCTCTTGGCTTCCACGCATAGCCTACAAGCCACTGATGCAGACCTTTGGAAAATCTACATTTTTAAAAAGTCTAATAAATCCATTTTATATAGCCTACACCATCGCAAATAAATCTATTATTTATTTTAGACAGGTCTAAAGAAACATGATATGAAGAAAATGTACTCAATTTCAGAAGAACAGAATAGCATACTCTGAATTGTCCTTATGTTAGGTCCTGATCTGGCTATGCCATAGCTGTGGGCTACACTAGTTCATTTAGCAAACAAGATTTGCTTAGAATTCCGTGGAATAATTTTATAATATTTTATAGTATGAAGAATCCAATTGAACATAGCTGAATAAAATAGAAAGTATATTTTCTCCAAATGATTTCCAGAGAGAGTGCGCACATGTGCCTATTCTGTGTTGAGCGGTTAACAAAGAAACAGGTCCTCCTATATGCTTAATTTAGAGTTATTTATGCAAATGTTGTTGTGATACAAACGTTGGGCTATATGTTTAGATTTTTAACACATTCTAAGGCTGCATGATGCGACTCTAATGATTTTGAAAAAAGTTTTATGAAAGGCATGAGCTGTGCTTTGTTTCTTGTGCAGGCTGCACACACACATCAGTCTCTCATTCACAATTTGACAAGCAATTTCCCGGTGGCATCCTCCTTGTGTGGCTGTAATGCCCCCTAAAGAATCCATGTCTTTTGCAGCCAAAGTAGCCGTTGTGCCCTTGGGCTGAATATAATAATGATCATTCCCTTATCCCGGCAGCGATCCCCTGAAGCACCTCTCACTAACATGGCTCTCTCAGATATCTAAGTGCACGCAACTGTGCGTGTCCCTCCTTATCGAATTCCGAGGCACATATTGAAGATGTTAGAAGAACTGTCCATATTTACTTTTCGTCAGCCAACAAGATGAGTAGGCCTAACGAACAGGAAAAGCACTAGCCTATGTCAATCTACTATCCCTCATAGTACAAAGGTTGACCTATTCTATTGGTCAACTTGTCCTTCTGTGCGATTAAATAAATATTCCAAACATACTCTGGGAAAGTTGGATGCGATAGATCCCAAATTAATACAACCATTCGCTAAAAAAAAGAGTTTAAAAGCAATGAGGCTGATGCAACAGATCAGAACGTTTAGCTTTACATTTTGATAAACTATTAGGTTATTTCTTCAGATTATAAGCGCAGCAATGCGCACAATTAGCTGGAAAACACTGTTCTCAAAAGTGACAAAAGTGGCAAATGCGATTCTGCATGTAATACTTTATTATAAAGGTGCATTGGTATGGTGAAAATGATCTTCCCCAAACTTGAAACTCACGCGCCGCCTATATATGCCAGTTAGGCTCTACACCGGTTGTAAAACGTATGAATGTGCTTAATTTTAAGAAGTTATTTGGCCACTTTAGTTGTGATACAAACCTTATCAAAACATATAGGCCTATGGGCTAGGCTGCATGAGGTGTACGACTATGGTTTTTAAAAGTCACAAAAAAATGGTATGCGCTGTTTCTTGCCTTACTGCTCATGCTGGGCATCATTCATAAGTGATAATACATTAGTCACAAGTGATAGGCTAATATTGTCACCCATCAGACTATTCTTAATTGAATCTTGTCTTTACATATACAAAATAATACACTACATCACCAAAAGTATGTGGACACCTGCTCGTCCAGCATCTCATTTCAAAATCATGGGCATTAATATGGAGTTGGTCCCCCTTTTGCTGCTATAACAACCTCCACTCTTCTGGGAAGGCTCCTAGATGTTGGAACATTGCTGCGGGGACTTGCTTCCATTCAGCCACGAGCATTAGTGAGGTCGGGCACTGATGTTGGGCGGTTAGGCATGGCTCGCAGTCAGAATTCCAATTCATCCAAACGGTGTTCGATGGGGTTGAGGTTAGGGCTCTCTGCAGGCCAGTCAAGTTCTTCCACACCGATTTCGACAAACAATTTCTGTATGGACCTCGCTTTGTGCACGGGGGCATTGTCATGCTGAAACAGGAAAGGGCCTTCCCCAAACTGTTGCCTCAAAGTTGGAAGAACAGCATCGTCTAGAATGTCATTGTATGCTGTAGCGTTAAGATTCACTTCACTGGAACTAAGGGGCCTAGCCCGAACCATGAAAAACAACCCCAGACCATTATTCCTCCTCCACCAAACTTTACAGTTGGCACTATGCAATAGGCAGGTAGCGTTCTCCTGGCATCCGCCAAACCCAGATTTGTCCGTCGGACTACGTGACCCATCACTCCAGAGAACCGTTTCCACTGCTCCAGAGTCCAATGGTGGCAAGCTTTACACCACTCCAGCCGACACTTGGCATTGCCCATGGTGATCCTAGGCTTGTATGTGGCTGCTCGGCCATGGAAACCCATTTCATGAAGCTTCCGACGAACAGTTATTGTGCTGACGTTGCTTCCAGAGGCAGTTTGGAACTCGGTAGTGAGTGTTGCAGCACTCGGCGGTCCACTTCACAGCTGAGCCATTGTTGCTGTTAGACGTTTCCACTTCACAGTAACACTTACAGTTGACCAGGGCAGCTCTAGCAGGGCAGACATTTTACGAGCTGACTTGTTGGAAAGGTGGCATCCTATGACGGTGTCATGTTGAAAGTTACTGAGCTCTTCAGTAAGGCCATTCCACTGCCAATGTTTGTCTATGGAGATTGCATGGCTGTGTGCTCGATTTTATACACCTGTCAGCAACTGGTGTGGCTGAAATAGCCGAATCCACTAATATATACTTTTGTATATGTGTGAAATTAGTTTTGATTTAGAATGGACCATTATTATGCACCTCTTGGAACAGGGGCAGGGGAAAAACAATACATGTCATCTATGCACTGAAATAGCGAATGGAGGACGCTTTTCCCATGGTTCATTTTCATGCCAGCCAGGTAGTACTCCTGTTGTAAAGCGAAGCAATGTGCTTAATATTAGGAAAGTTGAGAAATAAATATTGTAAGCCTATAGAAAGCTAATTTTAAGCCTATTTTTAATAGAGGCCATTAAAACTCTGTTTTCTCACGCAATTGCATAGCCTATAGAAATGTTGCGTAACATGAGTTTATGGGCTGTCATGAAGTTTGATTTGATTTTCGATTACATTTGTATTGATGTCAGAGTGATTTAGAGGGACAATAGAGTGCTGAGTACCAGGCAGTTAGCAAGTTTGTTAGGCTACTAATGACCAGCTGCATCAGAGCTTGGAGAAGCCTAGTTACCGTGACTAAACGGTCATGTAGAATTTGACTGCGGTCATGACTCGTGACCGCCTGTTTAGCGGTAATACGGTCACTGTAACAGCCCTAGGCCTAACCACCAGTTCAGACAGCTTTGATGAAGCTGACCTTCAGTTTTTGCCATGTAGCAAAATCTTTGTCTAAAGTTCTCATTTTATCATTCTTGTGTTTGATTTCAGACATTACTCCCCAAATCATTTAGATGTTATGTTGTCCTTGGCCTAAATGTTTTGTTATGTGCAGCATGGCAGCTGAATCTACACCCCTAACACTGTCAGCACAACTCCAGAGCTTGATATGGAGTGATCATCCTTGTCCAATATGAATTGGCAGCTTGCAAAGTCATAGCTTATTTGAGGGTATTTGAATTTTACGGAGCTCAGAGGTTTTGGTGCAGGAAATTCTTTGAGTCCCTCAATTTTGAGTGAGATTTGTGTGGAAGATGGGGGAGTTGGAAGGGCTTTATATTCAGACCACTTTTCTGTATGTCTACTCTGTGAATGTAGATAACATGTTTGGAATCTATTTTTCTTTCCCTCTCTCTTGCTCCATCTCCTTCACTCTCTCTCTATCACCCCACTTTGCTCTCTCTCGCTCTCTCGCTCTCTCGCTCTCTCTCTCTCTCTCTCTCTCTCTCTCTCTCTCTCTCTCTCTCTCTCTCTCTCTCTCTCTTTTTTCACAGATATGTCAGCATTAATCTCACTCAGGAAGAGAGCCCAGGGAGAGAAGCCACTTGCTGGGGCAAAAATTGTTGGCTGCACTCACATCACTGCCCAGACTGCAGTAAGAAAACTCTGTCTTCTTACCTATCCTAATATCACTGTCAAGGCTACAGGGGGACATTTCTCTCCTTATAAAGTAGGATTTGAAGGTCACAGCGTACACAGAGACTTCTACATTAACCAAGTTGGCCCTGTTGTTTAGACTAACTTACACTGTCTCCAATACCCAAGTTTTGCTGCAGTGACATAGGCTACATACCCAAATATCAGTGCCAAGACAGCAGTATGATATCTCTTCCCCACAGTATTGCTACTGCAGAATAGGGTTGTGCGGTATCCAGATTTTCATATCTTCATACCGTTCTTCTCTCATCCCGGGATTTACGGTATTACCAGTTTAGTACACAAGGGCGCAAAAAATCCTATTGGGGGGTCTATTACCAGAATGCTAACAAAGTTATCACAAGTAATAGCACATTTCCATGGAGGCTGCTAGCTAAATATGCTAACGAGCGCAAACGAAAATAATTGCAAAGACACGCAATCCATCTCATAAAGTTATACATATATAGGTAGGAGCTACCGAATGTCATTTTTGGTGTGTTTGGACATTTACAAGCAAATGTGAACGAGAGACATTGTGCAAATGAACAGTACTGGCTCTGGAGCAGCATGTGTACACACTGTGTCTGTGTGGAGTCTGGAGTCGCTAGGGCAATGGCCCTGCCTGCTCTGCTCGGAGAAGATTGGGTTGGAGCAGATGGGGGAGGAGCAGATGGGCAGAAAATGGAGAGGAGAAAAAACGCAAGGAAATCAAAACTGTTCGTCGGAATGGCTTTGACTTCTCAAACACGGCAGAAAGCCAACACAATGATGCCCCGTCTCGCCTTATTAATTCAGCTACTTACTTCGATAGCTAGCAATTTAAACTTAGGGGTCGCGTTAACGCAGAATTCTTAGTTTTTCACACAGGAAAAAAAGACAAAACGCATAAGAAATATCTTGCTGCGTTTTGTAAACGCAAATCTAAAACGCTTCTTATTGTAATTTCTGCTCGGCATCAGACACATTTTGTGCTTCAGTTGCACTTCTCCACTCAGATGAAAATTCACGAACTGGCATTCTATCAGCAGACAGCGCTCTGACTGATTCTCAATGTAGCCAGACTACTTTTCTCTGGTAAAATGCAAACATTAGGAAATGTACCTGGCTACATTCTTTCTATGATAAACAGAAATGATGGCCATGCATAGTTTTTGCAAAAAATACCTTACTTTTTCATCGTAAGCTCATTTAGCCTACTTGTGTGGCTGCCAGCCAAATAGCGTTGCACTTCTTTGGTCATCTGATTAAAATTAAGCTATCTTCTGCCGAATGTGTTGCACTAATGCATTTTCTGTGAAGGAAAACTATAGTTGCACGTCCCTGATCACTCTATTCAAGCAAAGAAACACTGACTTTCAATATAAAACACGACCCCTGTCAATACACAGCTGGACTCACCTGCTCCCGCTTTCTCCAGTTGTGCTATTTACAAACAAACACGTGACTGGCTCAACTGTTCTGGGGAACTACAGTAAACTTCATAATGTTAAATAATGTGACAGGTGAAATGACAAACGCAATCTGCTTTATCTTCTAACTTATTGCACAAGTTGACTGCAGATATTTACAGAAAAAGTAGCTACAAATATGAATGTATAGAAAAACTTTCAATGAAATAGTTTCAACGATATTGACGGTATTGAAAAACCATCCTGTGTCACTACAAAGATAACGGTGTCCTTCCTAACTCAGTTGCCGGAGAGGAAGGAAACCACATGGGATTACACCATGAGGCCAATGGTGATTTTAAAAGCGTTACAGAGTTTAATGGCTGTGATAGGAGAAAACTGAGGATGTACAGTTGAAGTCAGAAGTTTACATACACCTTAGCCAAATACATTTAAACTCAGTTTTTCACAATTCCTGACATTTAATCCTAGTAAAAATTCCCTGTCTTAGGTCAGTTAGGATCACCACTTTATTTTAAGAATGTGAAATGTCATAATAATAGTAGAGGGAAGGGTTTATTTCAGCTTTTATTTATTTCATCACATTCCCAGTGGGTCAGAAGTTTAAATACACTCAATTAGTATTTGGTAGCGTTGCCTTTAAATTGTTTAACTTGGGTCAAACGTTTCGGGTAGCCTTCCACAGGCTTCCCACAATACGTTGGGTGAATCTTGGCCCATTCCTCCTGACAGAGCTGGTGTAACTGAGTCAGGTTTGTAGGCCTCCTTGCTCGCACACACCTTTTCAGTTCTGCCCACACATTTTCTATAGGATTGAGGTCAGGGCTTTGTGATGGCCACTCCAATACCTTGACTTTGTTGTCCTTAAGCCATTTTGCCACAACTTTGGAAGTATGCTTGGGGTCATTGTCCATTTGGAAGACCCATTTGCAACCAATATTTAACTTCCTGACTGATGTCTTGAGATGTTGCTTCAATATATCCACATAATTTTCCTTCCTCATGATGCCATCTATTTTGTGAAGTGCACCAGTCCCTCCTGAAGCAAAGCACCCCCACAACATGATGCTGCCACCCCTGTGCTTCACGGTTGGGATGGTGTTCTTCGGCTTGCAAGCGACCCCCTTTTTCCTCCAAACATAACGATGGTCATTATGGCCAAACAGTTCTGTTTTTGTTTCATCAGACCAGAGGACATTTCTCCCAAAAGTACGATCTTTGTCCCCATGTGCAGTTGCAAACCGTAGTCTGGCTTTTTTATGACGGTTTTGGAGCAGTGGCTTCTTCCTTGCTGAGCGGCCTTTCAGGTTATGTCGATATAGGACTAATTTTACTGTGGATATAGATACTTTTGTACCTGTTTCCTCCAGCATCTTCACAAGGTCCTTTGCTGTTGTTCTGGGATTGATTTGCACTTTTCGCACCAACGTACGTTCATCTCTAGGAGACAGATCGCGTCTCCTTCCTGAGCGGTATGACGGCTGCGTGGTCCCATGGTGTTTATACTTGCGTACTATTGTTTGTACAGATGAACGTGGGACCTTCAGGCGTTTTGGAAATTGCTCCCAAGGATGAACCAGACTGTGGCTACTGTGGAGGTCTACAATTCTTTTTCTGAGGTCTTGGCTGATTTATTCTGCTTTTCCCATGATGTCAAGCAAAGAGGCACTGAGTTTGAAGGTAGGCCTTGAAATACATCCACAGGTACACCTCCAATTGACTCAAATGATGTCAATTAGCCTATCAGAAGCTTCTAAAGCCATGACATCATTTTCTGGAATTTTCCAAGCTGTTTAAAGGCACAGTCAACTTAATGTATGTAAACTTCTGACCCACTGGAATTGTGATACAGTGAATTATAAGTGAAATAATCTGTCTGTAAACAATTGGTACAATTACTTGTGTCATGCACAAAGTAGATGTCCTAACCGACTTGCCAAAACTATAGTTCGTTAACAAGAAATTTGTGGAGTGGTTGAAAAACGAGTTTTAATGACTCCAACCTAAGTGTATGTAAACTTCCGACTTCAACTGTAGTTACTCCACAATGCTAACCTAAATGACAGAGTGAAAGAAGGAAGCCTGTACAGAAAATAAATATTTCAAAACATGCATCCTGTTTGCAATAAGGCACTAAAGTAATTTTGCTAAAAATATGGCAAAGAAATACTGCAAAATATATGGCAAAGAAATTCACTTTTTGTCGTGAATACAAAACGTTATGTTTGGGTCAAATCCAACACAACACATCACTGAGTACAACTCTTCATATTTTCAAGCATGGTGGGGACTGCATCATGTTATGATTATGCTTGTCATCGGCAAGGACTAGGGAGTTATTTAGGACAAAAATAAATGTAATCGAGCAGGCAAAATCCTACAGAAAAACCTGGTTCAGTCTCCTTTCCAACAGACACTGAGAGACAAATTCACCTTTCAGCAGGACAATAACCTAAAATGTATGAAATAAATATTGTATAATTTCTCTTCCACTTTGAAATTAGAGTATTGTGTGTAGATCATTGACCAAAACTTACACTAAAATCCATTTTAATCCCATTTGTAACACAAGAGCACTGTGAATACTTTCTGAAGACTAAATATATTGAGTTCTACTATGGGCCCCGTGTAGCTCAGTTGGTAGAGCATGGCGCTTGCAACGCCAGGGTTGTGGGTTCGATTCCCACGGGGGGCCAGTATGATATTTTTTTTTATGTATGCACTCACTAACTGTAAGTCGCTCTGGATAAGAGCGTCTGCTAAATGACTAAAATGTAAAAAAAATTACTGCTCTCTCTATCAGCTAGGCTATTTATGATACAACATATTACTTGTACATATCTGTATTTTTTTTTGTGCCTCTCTCATTCAACCCCCTCCTCTCTCTCTTGCCCTCAGGTGTTGATTGAGACTCTGGTGGCTCTGGGGGCCCAGTGTCGCTGGACAGCCTGTAACATCTACTCCACACAGAACGAGGTGGCAGCTGCCCTCTCAGAGATCAGTAAGTAAAAGCTTTCTACATCACTACTTTGCTGCTTTGTTACAGTATGAGCTTCTATATGGAAAAGAATGAGAGGCTGATTGTACTTCATAAGAGGTTTTTGAGAGTTGTGGTTCATCACATTCACATTAATTAGTAGTATTTCTGCATACTATGCATAATTTAACTCTTATTAATATGTAATGAATTACATTATTGTTAAATGGGTGTTTCTTGTAAGGGTGCTAAGAGTTGGGGGTGATTTGCTTCCCTGTGCCCTTTGAAACCAAGGAGACGTGTTTCGAGATGTTCTCAATAAAGTCATGGAAAACACAGAGAAAACATCAGTCTTGCCCTCTAGTCATTGAACTACAGCACCAAGACACATATCTCTTGGGTTGCTGGGTGATTGTTAAGTATATGTGTTTCCGTAGTGGGGTGTCTTTGTTCATGGTCTGTTAGCCGGAGAGGTTCACAACAGAGTCAGACTGCATTAAAGTAAATATCACCAGTCACACAGCTCAAGCTGGGAGAGGAACTGGCACACAGGCTGTGGGCTGATTAACTTGTCCTACGCACAACAGTATCCTCTGACCATTTACAACCCACTCTCAGCAGTGTTTACATTTTCTATGTGTGAGTTATGCCAGCAATCTTCATACCATACAGCAAGCCTGCCAGAAACCTACTGAGATGGAGACTTGACCAGATTAAGGGAGTAGATAGATGGTAGTACGTAGGTGTATACTTACAGACACAGAGACGGGGATGAGGTTGGAGGACTAGATATGAGGTTAACTAAGAAAAAGTCAGTGGGATAGAGATCCTAAGCCCAGGTACTGTATACCGTGTTTATAGTAGCATGGCAGAGGAACCATGGAGCTTTCAAAATCTCCCCAACCCTCTAGTCCAATAGCAGGAATCAGATTTGTGTTTTAGTGTACCACTCTATTTTTTTTTTTTACATAAGCTCTCCCTTTCCCACATAGTTGTGTAAAGCTCCATCTGTCAGAGTATCTCTTTCTAATAAACAGTTGGTCCAGGTCTTTATGGAGAGAAATCTCCCTGCTAACAGATGAAAGCGCTGTGTCCTCTGGCAGCTTCTGTTCCTTGCCTGCCTGCTCTGCTCTACTCTCTGGGGTAGAAATGACCAGGAGGCCTTCTGTTCTGCTGCAGCTATCACCTGATGTCTGGTCCTCTTCTATAAATCACAGGATAACAGCTTTCGTGACAAGAGACCCAGCTTATTATCCCCTCTTGGTTTAGAGAACAGACATACGGAGGGGCTTTACTCACACCCTCTGTGTTATAAAGCCTGCATTATGATGTTATAAGCATGTCAGAATGGAAGTAAAATGTTAGGTCAGTTCACAACAATTGGTCATGAAGACACATAGCAGGATAGGACTACTGTGTAACTAAGCCTAATAAGCTACAGTAGCTACTGTAGCGATCCTACATGATTGTTCAGTACTGATGTCAATACTGTTAGTTATGGCTGCTATTGATACCCGTTTCCTGAATGATTATGAGAGTGTGAAGTTAGCTTTAATGTTAGAGAGCTGAAGTCTTTAGTGAGCAGGGTTGTGTAAGTGTACTGCCTGCTGGAGGAGCCTACAGAAGGTGAGCGCTGTTCTAGGCTCTGTGGTGTTGTGGTTGGATTGTTGTGCAGGTCCAGATATCTGGAGTTAAGCTGCAGGTCATTATATTAATATGGCTTTAGAGCAGATTATACGGACATCGAGCACCGTGCGTTCAAACGTCATCAGTTCTGCGCTCTCTGGAATGAAGGGTCTTTGCATCACAAACCAATGCTGTGCTGTTGTTTCAAAAGGGATTTGGATATGTCTCTGTTTGGTAATATCTGTCTGATCTGGAGAAATATAGTAATATCGAACACCTCTATTCTCCCAACTACCTTGTGATTTGTGCAGGTGTGGCGGTTTTTGCCTGGAAGGGGGAATCTGAGGATGACTTCTGGTGGTGTATCGACAAGTGCGTCAACATGGAGGGCTGGCAGCCTAACATGGTACCCATATAAGTATATCATTTATCCTCCTTTAACAGCAAGGCAAATGTCCTTGTAGACCATTTTGTGTTACTGATATGTGTCTGTTGTCACTGTTTGAGAATGTTGTCCCTTCTTGCTGTGTCTGTGGTAGATCCTTGATGATGGAGGGGACTTGACCCACTGGGTGTATAAGAAATACCCCAACGTCTTCAAGAAGATCAGGGGCATTGTGGAGGAGAGTGTGACTGGGGTCCACAGGTCATTTCATTTCTGATTACAGCACATTCACAGTCACACACGTTCATAAGACCAGCAGGCAACTCTGAGTTAAGTTCCTTAGTCACTTCCTCTTTGTCTTTCAGGTTGTACCAGTTGTCCAAAGCAGGCAAGCTGTGTGTGCCAGCCATGAACGTGAATGACTCTGTGACAAAGCAGAAGTTTGACAACCTCTACTGCTGCAGAGAGTCTATCCTGGATGGGTAGGTGTTAAATGAACCTTTAAGCGAAGTGAATGTTGTCTCACTACAACACTGCACTACATAACAATGTATCAATTAGATTTTTTTTGTAGATCAAATACTGTACATACATAAAATCATATACACTAGACAATATAATGGCGCCGGAGGGGATGGCTGCTGTTTTACGGGCTCCTAACCAACTGTTTTGTTTAGTTTTTCGCATTGTTTGTAACTTATTTTGTACATAATGTTGCTGCTACCGTCTCTTATGACCGAAAATAGCTTCTGGACATCAGAACAGCGGTTACTCACCTCAAACTGGATGAAGATTATTTATTTAATGAGTCCGACGTGAAGGATATACTGCTTTCCGGAGACCAGGCCCAAATCCTCGTCATTCGCGTGAAGAAAAGGCAGAGATACAGAGGGAGAAGGCGAGTGAGTAAATCGCCACTACCATCGGTTCTATTGGCCAACGTGCAATCACTGGAAAACAAACTCGATGATCTACGGTCGAGACTATCCTACCAACAGGACATAAAAAACTGTAATATCTTATATTTCACCGAGTCGTGGCTGGGTTTTCCGTACATCGGCAGGACAGAGCAGCTACGTCTGGTAAGACGAGGGGCGGGGGTGTGTGTCTATTTTTCAATAACTGCTGGTGCACGATGTCTAATATTTAAAGAAGTCTCACACTCTACCTCAGGCGAGGTATTGCTCGCCTGAGGTAGAGTACCTCATGATAAGCTGTAGACCACACTATCTACCAAGAGAGTTCTCATCTATATTATTCATAGCCGTGTATTTACCACCACAAACCGATGCTGGCTCGAAGACCGCACTCAATGAGCTGTATAAGGCCATAAGCAAACAAGAAAATGTTCATCCAGAAGTGGCGCTCCCAGTGGCCGGGGACTTTAATGCAGGCTAACTTAAATCCATTTTACCTCATTTCTACCAGCATGTCACATGTGCAACCAGAGGAAAGAAAACTCTAGACCACATTTACTCTACACACAGAGATGCATACAAAGCTCTCCCTCGCCTTCCATTTGGCAAATCTGACCATAATTATATCCTTCTAATTCCTGCTTACAAGCAAAAGCTAAAGCAGGAAGTACCAGTGACTCACTCAATACGGAATTGGTCAGATGATGCGGATTCTACATTACAGGACTGTTTTGCTAGCGCAGACTGGAATATGTTCCGTGATTCATCTAATGGCATTGAGGAGTATACCACCTCAGTCACCGGCTTCATCAATAAGTGCATCGACGACGTCGTCCCCACAGTGACCGTACGTACATATCCCAACCAGAAGCCATGGCAACATCCGCACCGAGCTAAAGGCTAGAGCTGCCGCTTTCAAGGAGCGGGACACTAATCCGGACACTTATAAGAAATCCCGCTAAGCCCTCCAACGAACCATCAAACAGGCAAAAGCGTCAATACAGGACTAAGATTGAATCATATTACACTGGCTCTGACGCTCTTCGGATGTGGCAGGGCTTGCAAACTATTACGGACTACAAAGGGAACCCCAGCCGCGAGCTGCCCAGTGACGCGAGCCTACCAGATTAGCTAAATGCCTTTTATGCTCGCTTCGAGGCAAGCAACACTGAAGCATGCATGAGAGCACCAGCTGTTCCGGACGACTGTGTGATCACGCTCTCCGTAGCCGATGTGGGCAAGACCTTTAAACAGGTCAACATTCACAAGGCCACGGGGCCAGACTGATTACCAGGACGTGTACTCAGAGCATGCGTGGACCAACTGGCAAGTGTCTTCACTGACATTTTCAACCTCTCCCAGACCGAGTCTGTAATACCTACATGTTTCAAGCAGACCACCATAGTCCCTGTGCCCAAGAAAGCAAAGGTAACCTGCCAAAATGACTACCGCCCCATAGCACTCACTTCGGTAGCCGTGAAGTGCTTTGAAAGGCTGGTCATGGCTCACATCAACAACATCATCCCGGAAACCCTAGACCCGCATACCGCCCCAACAGATCCACAGATGACGCAATCTCAATCGCACTCTACACTGCCCTTTCCCACCTGGACAAAAGGAACACCTATGTGAGAATGCTGTTCATTGACTACAGCTCAGCATTCAACACCATAGTGCCCACAAAGCTCATCACTAAGCTAAGGACCCTGGGACTAAACATCTCCCTCTGCAACTGGATCCTGGATTTCCTGACAGGCTGCCCCCAGGTGGTAAGGGTAGGCAACAACACATCTGCCACGCTGATCCTCAACACTGGGGCCCCTCAGGGGTGCGTGCTTAGTCCCCTCCTGTACTCCCTGTTCACCCATGACTGCGTGGCCAAGCACGACTCCAACACAATCATTAAGTTTGCTGACGACACAACAGTGGTAGGCCTGATCAACGACAACGATGACAGTGTGGTGCCAGGACAACAACCTCTCCCTCAACCTGCTACTCACTGTTTATTATCTATGCATAGTCACTTTACATGTACAAATTACCTCAACTAACCTGTACCCCCGCACATTGACTCGGTACCGGTACCCCTGTATATAGCCTCGTTATTGTTTATGTAATTTTGTGTTACTTTTTATTTTATATTTTACTTTAGTTTATTTAGTAAATATTTTGTTAACTCTATTTCTTGAACTGCATTGTTGGTTAAGGACTTGTAAGTAAGCATTTCACGGTAAGATCTACACATGTATTCGGTGCATATGACAAATAAAATAAAATTTGATTTGATTAGATTTCTGATTTGATATACTGAAGTCCTGTGCTGCTGAATTTTTCCCCAAGGCAAAATATGATGCATTTTCAGTGTCCCAGCCAAAGCATCTCTGGCCTGTATAATAGACAAAGCCAATAAATCAGGCTAACAACATGACTTCTGTGGCCTGAGAAATTGCTTTTATAGACTGCTACTGCCCACTTCACTCTACCTGGAGTTTTAACATACCACAGAAAGGCTGACATCCTGAATCCTATTGTTTCCCCTGTTTCTGTCTCCATGTTTCTGTCTGCAGCCTGAAGAGGACCACAGACGTAATGTTTGGAGGAAAGCAGGTTGTTGTCTGTGGTTATGGAGAGGTAAGGAGGTTTCATAATTTACACTACCCTTCAAAAGTTTGGGGTCACTTAGAAATGTCCTTTGTTTTCCATGAAATTAGTTTGAATAGGAAATATAGCAAAATGAATAGGAAATGTAGTCATTGACAAGGTTAGAAATAATGATTTTTAATTGAAATAATAATTGTGTCCTTCAAACGTTGCTTTCGTCAAAGAATCGTCCATTTGCAGCAATTACAGCCTTGCAGACCTTTGGCATTCTAGTTGTCAATTTCTTGAGGTAATCTGAAAAGATTTCACCCCATGCTTCCTGAAGCACCTCCCACAAGTTGGATTGGCTTGATGGGCACTTCTTACGTACCATACGGTCAAGCTGCTCCCACAACAGCTCAATAGTGTTGAGATCTGGTGACTGTGCTGGCCACTCCATTATAGACAGAATTCCAGCTGACTGCTTCTTCCCTAAATAGTTCTTGCATAATTTGGAGCTGTGCTTTGGGTCATTGTCCTGTTGTAGGAGGAAATTGGCTCCAATCAACAGGGTATGGCATGGCGTTGCAAAATGGAGTGATAGCCTTCCTTCTTCAAGATCCCTTTTACCCTGTACAAATCTCCCACTTTACTACCACCAAAGCACCCCCAGAGCGTCACATTGCCTCCACCATTCTTGACAGATACTCCTCCACCATCTTTTCATTTGGTCTGCGTCTCACAAATGTTCTTCTTTGTGATCGGAACACCTCAAACTTCGATTCGTCTGTCCATAACACTTTTTTTCCAATCTTCCTCTGTCCAGTGTCTGTGTTATTTTGCCCATCTTAATCTTTTCTTTTTCTTTTCTTTTTCTTTTTCTTTGCAACTCTGCCTAGAAGGTCAGCATCCCGGAGTCGCCTCTTCACTGTTGATGTTGAGACTGGTGCTTTGCGGGTACTATTTAATGAAGCTGCCAGTTGAGGACCTGTGAGGCGTCTGTTTCTCAAACTAGACACACTAATTTATTTGTCCTCTTGCTCAGTTGTGCAACAGGGCCTCCCACTCCTCTTTCTATTCTGGTTAGAGCCAGTTTGCGCTGTTCTGTGAAGGGAGTAGTACACAGCGTTGTACGAGATCTTCAGTTTCTTGGCAATTTCTCGCATGGAATAGCCTTCATTTCTCAGAACAAGAATAGACTGACGAGTTTCAGAAGAAACCCACAATTGCTGATGCTCCAGATACTCAACTAGTCTCAAGAAGGCCGGTTTTATTGCTTCTTTAATCAGCACAACAGTTTTCAGCTGTGCTAACATAATTGCAAAAGGATTTTCTAATGATCAATAAGCTTTTTAAAATGATAAACTTGGATTAGCAAACACAACATGCCATTGTAACACAGGACTGATGGTTGCTGATAATGGGCCTCTCTACGCCTATGTAGATATTCCATAAAAAATTAGCCGTTTCTAGCTACAATAGCCATTTACAACATTAACAATGTCCACTGTATTTCTGATCAGTTTGATGATATTTTTGGTTACTACATGATTCCATATGTGTTATTTCATAGTTTTGATGTCATCACTATTATTCTACAATGTAGAAAATAGTAAAGATAAAGAAAAACCCTTGAAAGAGTAGGTGTTCTAAAACTTTTGACCAGTAGTGTATATACAGTGGGGGAAAAAAGTATTTAGTCAGCCACCAATTGTGCAAGTTCTCCCACTTAAAAAGATGAGAGAGGCCTGTAATTTTCATCATAGGTACACGTCAACTATGACAGACAAAATGAGAAAAAAAATCCAGAAAATCACATTGTAGGGTTTTTAATGAATTTATTTGCAAATTATGGTGGAAAATAAGTATTTGGTCAATAACAAAAGTTTCTCAATACTTTGTTATATACCCTTTGTTGGCAATGACACAGGTCAAACGCTTTCTGTAAGTCTTCACAAGGTTTTCACACACTGTTGCTGGTATTTTGGCCCATTCCTCCATGCAGATCTCCTCTAGAGCAGTGATGTTTTGGGGCTGTCGCTGGGCAACACAGACTTTCAACTCCTTCCAAAGATTTTCTATGGGGTTGAGATCTGGAGACTGGCTAGGCCACTCCAGGACCTTGAAATGCTTCTTACGAAGCCACTCCTTCGTTGCCCGGGCGGTGTGTTTGGGATCATTGTCATGCTGAAAGACCCAGCCACGTTTCATCTTCAATGCCCTTGCTGATGGAAGGAGGTTTTCACTCAAAATCTCACGATACATGGCCCCATTCATTCTTTCCTTTACACGGATCAGTCGTCCTGGTCCCTTTGCAGAAAAACAGCCCCAAAGCATGATGTTTCCACCCCCATGCTTCACAGTAGGTATGGTGTTCTTTGGATGCAACTCAGCATTCTTTGTCCTCCAAACACGATGAGTTGAGTTTTTACCAAAAAGTTCTATTTTGGTTTCATCTGACCATATGACATTCTCCCAATCCTCTTCTGGATCATCCAAATGCACTCTAGCAAACTTCAGACGGGCCTGGACATGTACTGGCTTAAGCAGGGGGACACGTCTGGCACTGCAGGATTTGAGTCCCTGGCGGCGTAGTGTGTTACTGATGGTAGGCTTTGTTACTTTGGTCCCAGCTCTCTGCAGGTCATTCACTAGGTCCCCCCGTGTGGTTCTGGGATTTTTGCTCACCGTTCTTGTGATCATTTTGACCCCACGGGGTGAGATCTTGCGTGGAGCCCCAGATCGAGGGAGATTATCAGTGGTCTTGTATGTCTTCCATTTCCTAATAATTGCTCCCACAGTTGATTTCTTCAAACCAAGCTGCTTACCTATTGCAGATTCAGTCTTCCCAGCCTGGTGCAGGTCTACAATTTTGTTTCTGGTGTCCTTTGACAGCTCTTTGGTCTTGGCCATAGTGGAGTTTGGAGTGTGACTGTTTGAGGTTGTGGACAGGTGTCTTTTATACTGATAACAAGTTCAAACAGGTGCCATTAATACAGGTAACGAGTGGATGACAGAGGAGCCTCTTAAAGAAGAAGTTACAGGTCTGTGAGAGCCAGAAATCTTGCTTGTTTGTAGGTGACAAAATACTTATTTTCGACCATAATTTGCAAATAAATTCATTAAAAATCCTACAATGTGATTTTCTGGAAAAAAAATTCTCTATTTGTCTGTCATAGTTGATGTGTACCTACGATGAAAATTACAGGCCTCTCTCATCTTTTTAAGTGGGAGAACTTGCACAATTGGTGGCTGACTAAATACTTTTTTCCCCCACTGTACTGAAGAGTTCAATGCTATCTCATGCTAAGTCATTGTGTATTTAGTCTAATGTAATCTGCCTCTAAAGACTAATGTGGACGTCAAGGTTTACCGGTATACATGTTCTGTAGTGGGTCCATTGTGGCCTTTTCTGTTTATTGAGGTCAATGTGATGTGGTCATGTTATGTAATGCTAATGAAATGTGCTTTCCCTGCAGGTCGGGAAAGGTTGCACTGCCGCGCTGAAAGCCATGGGATCCATCGTCTACGTCACAGAGATAGATCCCATCTGCGCCTTGCAGGCCTGGTGAGGGACAGCAAGTAGGAAGCAGGAAGTACCAAATGTTAAGCACTGCTGACCCAGAGAAATGACACCATAAAGTGACACCAGGAGTCTTTTTGCCCTGCTCTAAGATAAACCTTTGAAACACAAATACTCCAGCAAAATATAAACAGAAAATATGAGCTGGCTTTTATAATTCAGGATAAAATGATAGAAACCAGAGAGCAATGTATTAAATCTTTAAATAAAACAAAGGAGCCTTATTATTTGAATGGCACTCATCAACCAGTACTAACCAACTTTACAGTAGGCAGAGCACTTGTCTCTCCCCCTCGGTTCTGACTAACCCCTCTCTCCCCATGTGTGTCTTAACAGCATGGACGGCTTCAGGGTGGTCAAGCTGAACGAGGTCATCCGCCAGGTGGACGTCATCATCACATGCACTGGTAAACAACATCAAACTACTGTGTAATGAATTGTGATATTATTTTGGACAGTTATATATGATTTGTAAAAAAAAAAAATCACCTAATCACCCTGAGGGTTTGTGCTAAGGCCTATATGGAGATGGAGGTTTTAGACTGGTGTTCTTCTGTGGTCTCCTAGGGAATAAGAACGTGGTGACCAGGGACCAGCTGGACCGCATGAAGAACGGCTCCATCGTGTGCAACATGGGGCACTCCAACACTGAGATTGACGTGGTGAGGAACTTTGACAACTCAATTTGTTGCTACTGTAAATCGTAAAAATCAAGGGAGGCAATATTTGAAGTTTTCCTGGGAATATGATGTTCATGATGATGATTTCAAATGTACTGCATATTTAGACTTTTAGTAGAGTGTGAGTGAGAGTGCATAGTGTGTTTGCATGACCCTTGTGTGTGTGACCTGCTAACCAGGCGAGCCTGCGGACCCCCGAGCTGACCTGGGAGAGAGTGCGCTCTCAGGTGGACCACGTCATCTGGCCTGATGGCAAGAGGGTCATCCTGCTGGCCGAGGTGGGAAGTTACACACACACACACACACACATGCATGCACATATACTCCCACATAGCAAATTAAATGTTTGTGTGTCTCCCTTAGGGTCGTCTTCTGAACCTCAGCTGCTCCACAGTTCCCACCTTCGTCCTGTCAATCACAGCCACGACCCAGGTAAAAGACACTCCCCACAGTAGCTAACAACCAGCTAGAGTAGTGCTTCAGTTAGCAGCAGGTAATACAGACCCTCACTGCCTCTCCCAACCCCACACTAGCTACCAGATAGCAGAGTCTGTGGGTTATTATGTGGTCTATTCCCTCCCATAATTAGGCCACCGTGGTAGATGATAAGAGGGTGCCTTGACCTCAGTGTCATCTCTAATAATAAAACTCCAGGGGGGGAATGGCTAAGGAGGGCTTATCTGAACTCATGTAGATTAGATAGACTCTCAGAGCACTGTGTAGAACATCAAGCTCGGACAAGGAAGCAATGGCATAGTGTAGCCATCTCCCCTAGTGCATATTTCATTCAGTGACAATTTGTGCATCAGATAACACCTTTCATTTGGCACATTAAGCAAAGTATATTTACATGCACAGCTGTATATTTAGACTGCTGTTATGGCATTTCTAAAAAGGTTCAGTGTTTATTTGAAGGTTCCAGGAATGGTGTGGGTATTTATAAAATGTTGTTTGAACGTAAGGGGGCTCTATGTGTTCACACGAGTACATTGTATAATGTGAGTATTGATATGTTTCTATTCCTGAGATTGTGTGTGTGTACCGATGATTGTGTATGGTGCTTCATTTCTCCAACAGGCTCTGGCCCTTATTGAGCTGTACAATGCTCCAGAGGGCCGCTACAAACAGGATGTGTACTTGCTGCCCAAGAAGATGGGTGAGTCATCGACAGCCCTTATTATATCCTGCTATGTTTGGAGCGTTACATGAGAATACAGAGAAATAGTGGCTGTAGTGGTAGTTGTTATAATTATTATGTTATGGTCTAGCTAGCTACACAACCCACAGTAATTCCTGCTCTAGCTGTTTAATCACTCTCTCTGTGAGTGTGGACATAATGATACTGTATCACAAGTGCTTGTTTTGGACAAGCTGTTCAAACCACTTTCACTAGTTTCTGAGGCCCTACTTATGCCCTCTGGTGACGTGAATGAGGCATTCTGTTACGTTGACACAAATCGCTACGTTGAATACAATAAAATAAAATAAATTGTTTATCACTTCTATAATTGTATGTGTGTTGGGATTGTCTCAGATGAGTATGTTGCCAGCCTGCATCTGCCCACCTTTGACGCCCACCTGACAGAGATTTCAGATGAGCAGGCCAAGTATCTGGGCCTCAACAAGAATGGCCCATTCAAACCCAACTACTACAGGTACAACTACATCCCCCTAAGATCCCTTTAAATGACACCCAAATGTCAGATTTATGTCAGATTTATCTGCAATGCATCCCCACAGCCACAACATACATGTTCTCATTGGTCCAATCGAGCTAAGTAAAGGTTCGTATGACATTCAGTACAAACATTTGACTGCTAGGTTTATGTTAATTTTTGGGATTCACAGGTATTAGCTTGCATGAATGGACCACAACTCTGCACTCCTTGACTTGGATAAGGCCTGGATGACCAGAAGATAATGAAATCTATATTTTGTTTTTTTAAAGACACTTCACCAGACACACTGTTTTTGTTTTCAAATCAAGCTCTATTCCGTCGTCTTCTTCAGTAAGTGTTACCCTGTTTCACTTGCTGTTTTGTGTGTTTAGTTTCACCATCAGTTCTGTAAATATACACCTCCTCTAAGAAACCAACATGCTGGATCCCACTGGCCATGAATGACCAATTGAAAGTACAGCACTTAAACTCGGCTCTCTGCTAGAGATGTATTTTTTTCCACACAAGTCTGATTTCATACCCACTCCCCACTAGAATATACATTTTTCTGATGGTTTATTAGTAGTTTGATTTATGTTTATATTATTGTGCCAAATGATTGTGTAGGGAAGGGGGATAGTTTTGATTGAGATTTATATTTGTTTTCTGCATTGATGTCGCTACACTCTTCTCAAATAATTACATTCCAGCCAAGGGAACAGGGAGAAATGGGCCTCTACAATAGAAAGTCTCAACCACAAAATGTCCCATTTAAAAGTCCAATGCAGCCGTTTGTATCTCAATATCTAATCATTTCTGGGTAACAATTAAATACCTTACTGTGATTGTTTTAAATTAAAATGGTCAAAAAGAAACAAAAATAGCTTCTTAGTAAAGAGCAATTTCTCAAGCAAGAATTTAGCTAGGACTGTTTGGGAGTGGTCTGAGTGAGGGGAAAACTGAAAACTAGCTGTTATTGTCAGAAAGGTTTGGAACTCTTTCTTATTGGTCTATTGACTCATTTACGTGTTTGACTGCACTGGGCCTTTAAACACATTGTCACGTTTCCTGCTGGAAACATGATACCAACATAGAGGTTTACTATACCCACATAGATGTTTACTATACCCACATAGATGTTTACTACCAGCTGGTAATTTTACTGCTCTATCTCTCTCCCTCTGAAACAGAGCTGACATTTGATTGAATTGAAAAGATGATTACTTGTACTGACTGTATTGACTAAACCTCCTAAGGCAAACATACAGACAGACCATGTATTGTTTTTTCTGTATAGTACATGTATGCATGTACAGTACAGAAATGCAGTTATCTTCACCAACATGTAGATACAGAAAGGTATGTGTAACCAGAAGAGTGATTATCTAATGTGGCACTGGTTTTGATTGAGTCTCACATGGTAATAGGGTAATAACACTGAAATGTATTAGAGGAGTCTTATCAGACTCAAATGACAATAGTGGAGTTCCCATTTCTCAATCTCTGGTCCTAATAATGTGGAAATATGATTATTGAAATTATTTTTGAAATATTGTAGTTGGCTGATAGTTTAAGTATTGTTACTAGTAGTACTAGTATCATTTTTTGTGTTGTGAATCCTGTTTTCTCTTAACGTTCCTGATCACCATGTTGTCCTTCTCTGTTCTCTGCATCCATACCTGCCTGTTTTCATGTCACCATCACATAGGTCACTATTGTCAGTTTTGAGCAGAAAGAGGAAACTTACACAGCCAACCAACTCTCCATAAGGGAGAGTTGTTTTTCAGTTGAGTAATGATGATCATCAGACTGCAAACTGCATATTTTATGTTGTTTTTTAGTTCCAGCTGCCGGTAGTATTACAGAGGGTAAATAATCTGTATGTATTACCTGTGCATTTAAAAGGACATGCACTGCCACCCTGGTCTGTTAATATGGGACACCGAGTCAGTTGAGTACAGACCACATCTCTAAGTACAATTTAGTTTTTGCGATGGTTTTCAGTCCTTTCTCTGTCCTTCCATTTTAGCTGCGTGAAACAGATACTGTTTTATTTGTATATATGTTAGCTGATGCAACTGTGAGATAAAGCGCTTTCATCTTTGCACTACTTAAAGCTGTTGGGCATTACAAGCAAGGACATATGCGTGAGAAGAACATTGTTGGCGGGGTATTGGCGTCTTAACTTTGGTTACTGGTCAAGTGACAGTGCCTTGTGACTCATCTGCTACTGTACATATTCATCACTTGTAGGATTATGTCTGTCTGCTCTCTTCCTCTTTGGAAGCTGTCCAACAGTGGTCTGATTCTGCAATATAATCGCTGTGCATAAATCTAGTGGTCTCTTATAAAGATTTGGGGGGGGGGGGGTACCAAAACTGCTTGATGTGTCAGCATTTTAAAGGTACTTCCATTGTAAGCTAACAAAGTAGTTTGAATTCACTTGTATTGTACTTACCATTGTTTTCGAAAGTACAGTAAATCTTTCCATTTCTTCCCTTGGGTATTGTCTGTATAGCACTACCAAAAGCATGCCATAAAGTAAAATGACTCAATCTTCCAGAATGCCTTTACATGCACTGCGTTGATTACAATGCCTCTGATATCAAATTCAGTTTTAGTTAAATTAATCTTCCATATTTTTTTATTCATTCATACTGTCATAACGATAAGGACTAGCTGGATGTCATAATAACTGACAAATATAGTCAGTTTATGAAACATTGTCTAACAGTAGAGAGGTCTTATCAAACCAGCTCTCAAGTCCAGGGTCATTTGGCTGTTGTATGCAACAGTGCTCTGCAATTTCACTTCAACTGACATAAATAGTGAAGAACTCTTGTGACATATATTTATTATGCTTATGTGATTGATTTGTAACCATTTTGAATAATTTCATCCAGAAAATACCATATACCAAGTGACAAGTTTCACTTGCTGACCACCATGTTCAAAACCAAGTGATGCGTGAGGAGCTGAAATTTCGACCCATTATTATTTAAAGCAAGGATCACTGTGATGTACATGATGCGAGAATCGCTTATGCATCTCTGGTTTCGACAAAACTATATTTTTACCTAAGGATTTTTATTTGAGCTTTGCGAATGAAATCATAATGTTAAAGATTATACAGTACTATGTATTATTTTTCTGTGTATTATCTGTTGTATTATCTGGTGTAGTCTGGCTGAGTCACAATTCAAATTGATTTACTTTAATGTGACTGCTCTCTTATGCTGCTATTTCTGTTTCTGCTTTCTGTTGGTTGATGTATACCGATCCCTTTAAACTTTTCTGTGTTTGAATTAAAAACTGCTAGTGCAAAAATTTTCAACAAGTCATTCTTTACCAAGTGTGATGTTAAGTCCCAATTCTGTAACTAACTGTATGGGGGTTTTCCACGTACTTAACATAATATTTTCTAACACATTCTTAGAAAATGTGAAAAACATAGTAAATGGAATGAATAAACAATGTATTCATGTAAACAATGCTTTAAACTACAAAATATAGATTCAAGTATGAAAAATATTTCATTTGGCTGTTTCAAACATTTTAAGACTGGGCCAACAATGACTATGTATTTTAGTCCTAGCTCCTGGCATGTCTACAGCAGCCATAGGTTAACTCGCTTCACTGCCATCCAAACACGGCAGAGGAAACCTCCCTTCTTGGGCGATTTACGATCACCTGAAGGATAGGAAGCAGTCTTAACTATTCACCTCCAAATCCATATATTCTTTGGAGAGAGTGTAAATGTGATTCGTTGACTCACTTGTTTGGAGGCTTGGTTTCTCATCTGGTGTCAATGATCTGCCAAGTGCATACGAGGCTGCAGTTTACTCCAAGCTGACAGACACTTAGAGTGACAGCTGTCATGACAGTCCCAGAAGCCTCACCATATCCAGCAGTCAGGGCAGTGGGGCCACCAGCCACACTCAGCAGTTCATTAAGTATGGAGCGCACATTCCTGACCCCACAGGCCTGGAGTAGAGAACCTGCAGCATCTGTGATGTGCAGAGTACCCAGCCTGGGTTGGGTTCCCAAAAGCATTGTAGCATCAAGATCATCTTGTATCAATTAAGACGATCTTGGTGCTACGATGCTTTTGGGAAACCCAGTCCTGGTCTCATAGACTAGACATCACATAGTAAACGTAAATCCGGGACACTTAAATTAGTATGATATGTTAAGTTTGGTATGGTTACATAGACAGAATCCGGGACACTTAAATAAGTGGGCAAAAACTAAAGTAGGGTGATTGGTCGGGGTGGGCATATAACGCAAACATCTAGCAACCCAAAGGTTGCATGTTCGAATGTTATCACGGACAACTTTAGCATTTTAGCTCATTAGCAACTCTGAAACTACTTACTACTTTTTAGCTACTTTGCATGTTAGCTAACCTTAATCCTTTAACCTAACTCATAACCTTAACCCTAGCCTAGCTAATGTTAACTAGGTGGCTAACATTAGCATTAGCCACCTAGCTAACGTTAGCCACAATATCATATCATTCATTTTTCAAATTCGTAACATATTGTATGAATTGCAATTCGTAACATATCATAAAAATTGGAATTTGTAACATATCATACAAAATGGATGATGGACATCCACAAAATGAATACATACCATACGAAACTTAACATATACTAATTGGGTGTCCCGGATTTACATTTACTATGTTACGTCTACCCCTGAGTCCAGGTTGGAGTACCAACAAGGTCCTGCAGCACAGATATCGCCACCCACATCATCAGGTCGACAAGTGCCATCCATGCTGGTGGATCCCTCTCCCTCAGGGGAGTCTGCAGGGTTGGCTCCAACGCTGAGAATCACTGATGACAATTTCCACCACCATCCAAGATGCACTCTGTAGACGGGAGGCTGGGAGTAGGTCAAGTCACTGTTGATGTCCTCAATGGCCTTGGAGTAAGCTTCTGGATGCAAACCCAGTTGGTTCGCTTTGAGTCACAGTCTGCTCTCCATTTGTAGTGTTTATGCTACAGCAAGACAGAAAATAAAGGCCACAACTTCAGAGACCATGAACACCACAGGAAATAATGGAACTGATAGCTAATAAACACCTGAATCAAGTGAAGTGACAGACTCACAGGTTAAGAGAGGAAAGGGAGAAACACTGACCCTCCAAGGCCATTAGACTGGGAGCTCCTCAGTGAGTAGGCATGAAGAGAGAGATCCAGAGAGGATGAGTTTTAGTAAGGTAGGATTTCTTGAGTTTATTGCTATGGTTATCAACTGTACTGCACTGATTGGGTGTAAGATATTTTAGTGCATAAGATCTACAGGGGGTTTTGAGAGAAGGGTTTCCATCCTTCCAGGCCTGGAGTAGGATTTGTTTTGGCCAAAGTAGTGCGATTGGCGTGTTTTTTTTTTTTTGGGGGGGGGGGGGGGGGGGGGGGGTATAGTGGTGTACTGTATATGTGTAGCACAGGCAGCTGGTGGTACCTTCATTGGGGAGGACGAGCTCTTAGTAATGGCTGGAACGGAATTACTGAAATGGTATGGAACATGGATACCATTCCATTCACTCCATTCCAGCCATTATTATGAGCCATCCTCCACTCAGCAGCCTCCTGTGATGTGTAGGGTTAGATGGTGGCGCAATTTCTTTTTCCCCTTCTCCTTTTCAATTTTTTTGTGACAAAAGTGCAATTCACATTCCGACCAGTAATAGGCAGCAATACGCAAGAAAGTCTGCGTCAGGGAAGAGGTTGCTGAGGGTGTGAATGAGAGTGCGAGTCATGACGCAGAGGCAGACGAATGGGAAGAAAGGCGCCAGGCTCAAACCTGTCTACCGAATAAATACCTAATGGTGTTAAAGAGTACAAAACAGCTAGTGAGTATGAGTTCCTGTCTCCTGTCACAGGTGACCATGGAGGGAGTGGCATCCCACTGGGCACACACTGGTTGCAACTACTTACTACTTTGAATCAACGTTGTATCCATGAAATTTCAATGAATTTACATTGAACCAATGTGGAATAGACGTTGAATTGACGTCTGTTCCCAGTTGGATGTAGTTTGGAAGTGAGCTTGACCAAGGTGAAGTAGCCTACCTGCGGCGACAGGTGGTAGATACTTCCAACATTTGCCCTGAGAAGCCTACCAGAGATGATTTTGGACCGGTAGGAGTGAAGTGGGTTCCTGCTTTTTGGCCGACCCATACATTGTTTCAAACTGGGTAAAGGACAAACTGGGAAGTGGATTTTTTTTGTATAAATGTTTTTTGCATCCTCCGCCCAGAGGCAGCGGGTGTTCCGCCTCATGCGTCTCAGGGCTCAACCTGTGTCGTTCTTTGCTCTCCGGAGCAGGGTACCGCTCAAAGGAGTGATCAGTGGGGGTGGCATTGAGTGTAGAGGTGGATAAGATGAGAAATAATATTCCTGATGTCTGTGACACCCGCTGTTTGGTGAGACGCAGACCCGGTGGAAATAGTGAGACGGAGAATACCCTGTCTGTCTTGCTGAGCTTTGATGTGGAGTTTCTACCTGATAAGGGTATATTAGCTGTTCGGTGAGGGTGTTTGTTCTGAACCCGCTATGGTGCTTCAAGTGCCAAGGATTCGGACATGTGGCAGCAGCATGTAGAAGGGAGATCCCACAATGTGGAAAGTGTGCAGGAGTGCATAGTCAGAGGGAGTGTGAAGTAGAGATCTTCTCAGGTCAAAAAAATTGGACCCGGACCCAATATATATATTTTTTAACGGGGTCCCAGACTCGAACGGACCAGAAAACATTCAGACCCAAACCCGAATGGACCCGACGACAACCAGACCTAGGCCCAAACTGTACCCTAACTGGTCCGGGTCTAGACAAGACCCGATTGGACCCAAGTGACAAAAAAAGTATGTTTATCAGCCAAGTTGCTCTTCTGGTTAACGAATAGGTCTTTATATGTTGGTTAGGTCTTCTATAAGTCAATAAATGCACCTGTATTAGCATAAAATAAATATGCTATAGGCTATGCAGAGCTGTGGTTGGGTCCATTTGTGTCCACTTAGGTCTATCATCTAGTTACATAGACACAGACCTGATGACAATCAAACAGGACCCGACCCGGACCCGAAGAAAAAGTTGGAATTTTTGGGTCTCGGGTATTCGGGTTTGGGTTGACCCGTGAAGACCTCTAGTGTGAAGTCGGGGTTGAGAAATCACTGTGTGTAAACTGTGGGGGTGCCCATACAACTTGGGATCCGAAGTGCCCTGTATGAGAGAGACAAATTGAGATTGCCAGAGTTCGAGTGGGGAAGAACGTTTCATACGCTGAGGCAGTAAGGAGAGTAGAGGATAGCCCAAGGATGAGGGATTCGACTGGGAGCCCCCCAGTGAGTAGGCCTGAAGAGAAAGATCCAGAGAAGATTAGTTTTTATTAAGGTTGGATTTATTGTGTTTATAGCCATGGTGATCAACTGCACTGCACTGGTGGAGCAGAAATTGATGTGGTAGTTGCAGCAGCAGAAAAATATTGGTGTGTGAGAGATTTTAGTGCAGAAGATCTACATGGAGTTTTGAGAGAAGGGGTTCCAACCTGCAAAAGGCAAAAATACGCAACACAGCGTCTACTCGGCCGGAAATTCACACGAAGAAGAAGAAAGCCTGTGTCTAGTCTGCCGGAAAGCCACACGAAGAAGAAGGAAAACTTTGTTGGTCAATCAAAGATGGACGTTGGTGGTAATGGTGGTGGATTGATTGTTAACAATAAACAGAGGGCTATGTTACCCAACAAAAGTAGGGGTGAATTTGTCCGTAATCAAAGAAAAGACTCGGAGGTAAGGGGAAAAAATACTGGTTTATTGTATTACGTTCTGTATCATAAATTCATATTTTGTGCTGTCAACAAGCCTAACGGTAGCTAGCAACTAGCTAACGCTAGTCGATACATGCTGTTACTAGCTAGCTAGGAATTTAATTATTGATCCCCCAGTCCGTTTTCACCCATTACAACTGTTCTGATGGCGAATAGTTAGTTGTGCAAGATTTGTGGCTCGCTTTCAGAATTGTTAACCCTGAACACGAAACTGCCACTTGTCCAACGCTACCTGTTTTGTTAGCTAGCTAGGTAGCTACAGTAACTATGAACGCGAGCTAACTAGCTTGCTATATCTATCCAGTTTCTGTTTAAATATAGTTCAAACCTTCTGCTATTCAGAACTTGCTACAATAGTAGATATACACTGAGTGTACAAAATATTTGTCTTTCTCGTACAGGGCACTTCGGATCCCTAATATCCCCCCGTTTTGACCTCAGAACAGCCTCAATTTGTCGGGCTATGGACTCCACAAGGTGTCGAAAGCGTTCCACAGGGATGCTTGCCCATGTTGACTCAAATGCTTCCCACAGTTGTGTATGTCTATAAAACTAGCTAGCTAATGGCATCTCTTGACATTTCAAACACCCTTGATCCTACAATATACTATGAGTTCACTATATTGAATACTGTCAAGTCCAAATGCAATGGGCTTGCCCCATCTGGCTGCAAATTTAAAACAATATTTCCCCAAATTAAAAAGACTACGGACATTGGAATGTGCCCAAATTTTTCGGCTCTTCTCTGTGGTCCGAAATAGCAATACAGTACAGTAGTGTATTTTTGTCTGTGCTCCAACCACAGGGCTTCTCCGAGTCTCCAGACCTTGAGTTTGAGTATGCAGATACAGACAAGTGGTCTGCTGAACTGTCAGGTGAGGTATTTCTGGACACTCTCCTTTATTATTTTTTAAATAGTGACCTCTATGACATGTTCTCTTGTGAATTTGGTACAAACTTTGCCTACGTATCTTCTCCAGAGCTATACAGTTACACTGAAGGACCAGAATTTATTCTCAACAGAAAATGCTTTGAGGAAGAATTCCGAACTCATGGTTCGTATCTTATTGACTTGAATGCATTGTCTTCCGCCAGCGTGGTTATATAGTACCTCTGAGTGTGTTTTGTTCCTGCCCTGTCTCAGTGTCTGATAAGAAATGGACCGAGCTGGATGTGGCTCAACACAGAGCTCACGCTATGCGTCTCCTGGACGGCCTGGAGGTGATCGCCAGGGAGAAGAGGCTAAAGGTGGCCAGGGCCATTCTCTACATGGCTCAGGGTAGGTCATCAGCTCTCAATGGTTTAGCAGCATAAGTTCACTAAGGAAGCCTGTGAAGAGGCAGCTGTTGCAAAATATTTATATAGTGAGGCAGCCAGCAAACAATGTTTCAGCACTTAAGTCAGATTTCCTACCTGTGGCTCTACAGGGACATTTGCAGAGTGCAGCTCTGAGGCAGAAGTGCAGCACTGGATTAGGTACAACATCTTCCTGCTGCTGGATGTTGGCACCTTCACTGCCCTGGTGGAACTGCTCAACATGGAGGTTGAGTAAGTTGGAACTACAAATCAGTGAGATGTCATTGTTTTTGGGAAGAGTTTCTTTGCTATACAAAATGTGGTAAAAATCAGGTAGCTGATTCTTTCACTCCTCTTCTCAACTAGCCTCTCTCTCCTCCACTTCTTCTCTCTCTCTCAGTAACAGTGCTGCCTGTAGCAGTGCAGTCAGAAAGCCAGCAATCTCCTTGGCTGACAGCACAGACCTCAGGTAAGATTACACACTGACTTTCCTGTAGCTCTATATAGTTAAACACCAGTGTATTAGAGTCCTCCTCTGATGCTAGTGTTCCTCAGGGTGCTGCTCAACATCATGTATCTGATGGTGGAGACCATCCAGCAGGAGGACCCAGCCGACTCACCTGAGTGGAGGGCCACCAGGGAGACCTTTAGAACAGAGCTGGGTAAGAGTGTGTGTTTCTATTAGAAGGGTTTTGTCGAGGAGTAATTTTGGGCTGTCTGTTATAACTAGTCTTTGTTCTTTCCCCGCTCTCTCTCCCAGGCTCTCCTCTGTACAACAACGAGCCCATCTCTGTCATGCTCTTTGGCATGGTGACCAAGTTCTGCAGTGGCCACGCACCCCACTTCCCCATGAAGAAGGTTCTTCTGCTGCTGTGGAAGAGCATACTGGTGATTTTGGCTATTGTGTTAGCCAGGTACTTTTGGCTTGCATATACACTACCGTTCAAAAGTTTGGGGTCACTTAGAAATGTCCTTGTTTTCGAAAGAAAAGCAATTTTTTTGTCCATTAAAATATCAAATTGATCAGAAATACAGTGTAGACATTGTTAATGTTGTAAATGGCTATTGTAGCTGGAAACGGCTGATTTTTAATGGAATATCTACATAGGCGTACAGAGGCCCATTATCAGCATCCATCAGTCCTGTGTTCCAATGGCATGTTGTATTTGCTAATCCAAGTTTATCATTTTAAAAGGCTAATTGATCATTAGAAAACCCTTTTGCCATTATGTTAGCACAGCTGAAAACAGTTGTGCTGATTTAAAGAAGCAATAACACTGGCCTTCTTGAGACTAGTTGAGTATCTGGAGCATCAGCAATTGTGGGTTCAATTACAGGCTCAAAATGGGCAGAAACAAATAACTTTCTTCTGAAACTCGTCAGTCTATTCTTGTTCTGAGAAATGAAGGCTATTCCATGCGAGAAATTGCCAAGAAACTGAAGATCTCGTACAACGCTGTGTACTACTCCCTTCACAGAACAGTGCAAACTGTCTCTAACCATAATAGAAAGAGGAGTGGGAGGCCCCGGTCCACAACTGAGCAAGAGGACAAATACATTAGTGTCTAGTTTGAGAAACAGGTCCTCAACTGGCAGCTTCATTAAATAGTACCCGCAAAGCACCTGTCTCAACGTCAACAGTGAAGAGGCGACTCCGTGATGCTGACCTTCTAGGCAGAGTTGCAAAGAAAAAGCCATATCTCAGACTGCCCATCTTAATCTTTTCTTTTTATTGGCCAGTCTGAGATATGGCTTTTTATATAGCCATTTACAACATTAACAATGTCAACACTGTATTTCGGATCAATTTGATGTTATTTTAATGGACAAAAAAGTTGCTTTTCTTTCGAAAACAAGGACATTTCTAAGTGACCCCAAACTTTTGAACGGTAGTGTCTATATCTCTATCTCTTACAACATGTCTTCTCCTCTGCCCCAGTTCACCCTCGGGGGGTTTGAGCAGCTCCAGAACATTAAGGTGCGTAAGCGGGAGGAGCTGCGCTTGCCCCCCCTCCCAGAGGACAGCATCCGGGTCATCAGGAGCATGAGGGCAGCCTCTCCCCCAGCCTCCGCCTCTGACCTCATCGAACAGCAGCAGAAACGGGCACGCCGTGAACACAAGGTAACCTCTACCGTGCCTGAATGAAGTCTCAATGCAACGCAACAAAGTGAAGGCAATCCCCTGTTTGACACCTGCTCAATGTAACATTGTGTCAGGCTCATTTGAAAAGTACTCCTCAACCCTTTCCTCTCCATTACAGTCCCTGACAAAACAGGACAACCTGGATGCTTTCAATGAGAAGGACCCCTACAAGTCAGACGACCCTCGTGAAGATGAGGATGACAACGATGACAATGACAACTCCATGGAGGTGGAGCCTTTTCCCATGGAGCGGGATGAGGTCATGCCCCCGCCAATCCCACACCCCCCCTCAGAGAGGGTGAACTTCCCCAAGGGGCTGCCCTGGGCCCCCAAAGTCAGGTATGGTGCGGGGCTGAGGGAGACATCAAGGAGACCATTTGCTACAGATTAATGCTGTGTCTTTAGATATACTCTTTGGTTTTATGTGTCTTGTATAATGTGCCTAATATTGTATGATTATAATTTTTTGTTTGCTTTTACAGGGAAAAAGACATCGAAAATTTCCTGGAATCAAGTAGAAGCAAATTTATTGGCTATACGCTTGGAAAGTAAGTTCAATTGGTGTCTTTTTTTCATTTAAAGATGCACTATGCAGAAATCGCTCCACCATTTCCAGGTTGCTAAAATTCTAATAAACTGAAATTAGGTGAATTATGTGACAAAACAAGCAAGTACAATGTAGATAATTATTGTACCATCTAAACCGCTGTGAAATATATTTTCCATAACCAAAACTATTGTATTTTCGGTTGTTTGAAGCTGGTGTAGAAAACCGAAAGTAAAAGACGCAAAAACAAAACTTGAGAACAGGAAGCATAGAAATAGCGCACATAGAACAGATCCACAGCTTCTTAGACTTGCTTTCAATGAGAATGACAGATCTATAACACACTTTCCTATGTGAATTTGGTTGGGTCGCCCAAAAAGTTACATATTGCAGCTTTAATGGGATACTTTGGGACTTTGGCAACGAGGCCCTTTATCTACTTACCCAGAGTCAGATGAACTCATGGATACCATTTTTATCTTTTTGCGTGCATTGCCCAAATCCTGAAGTATCCCTTGAATAGTAAATCTCTATTAATCTTGAAAAGTAATTTCTTGTCGAGGATCCTTGACCTAGTTTTCGTGGTTATTTTTGTATTTGTATTGCAGTGACACAGATACAGTTGTCGGCCTACCCAGACCCATCCATGAAAGCATCAGAACCTTGAAGCAGGTATTATGCAGTTCTCAACATGTCTCAAGCATTGTTAAACATGGATTTTCTAGATATTGCTTAATATTCCTGCATTGTGCCTGAAAGAGAGCTGCTCTCAAGTTAGGCTGGTCTGTGACTCACTGACACCTTATTATTCCGAAGAATAAGGCAACCTCACAGTGTTACACACAATTGATAACTTTATTTCCAGAGGATATATGAGATTGATGTGGTTCTGTAGAAAGAGAGATATGAATATATATATATATATATATATATATACAGATAGCAATACAATGAATGGGTAATCGGATAGGATAGCACAAGCAATATTATTGTTATCCCGCTAAAGTCTAAGCATTTGGTTGTATGTTGGGGGGGGTCCTACTAAGCTAACGTGGAATTGTTTTAAGATGGTCATACCAAGGATAATTTTGCTATTTGATTTAGAATATTAGGACCCCTGTAGGTATAAAAAATATATATAAAAAAATGATTTGATAACATTGAATTTTGCCTTACTGCTTTTAACCCATAGAAAGGCATTGAATAACATATTCATACATGAGAAAACAGTTAAAAGAGGAAGTAACTCCTTTTTTTTGTTGCACAAAACTACTTCCATACATTCATTTTTTAAAACCGGTATCGGGTTACCTTTAGACGAGTCTTGTGAAGCTTTTGGGCGTCGTAGAGCAAATCAACATGTTCGTGAGAGTCTGGACTTGCGATGGTGAGGTCATATTAGTTTGTAGCTCAAAACGTTTGGATTCTACAGACAGAAGTTGGCACATTGGCGGTACCGACTTCAGACGAGTCCCGTGACGCTTGTGGGGAGCGGAGAACACCATTGATTTCATGAGTCTCAGCTTTCCATAGTAGGGTCATACAGTGCCTTCAGAAAGTATTCAGACCCCTTGACTTTTTCCACGTTTTGTTGTCACAGCCTGAATTTAAAATTTATTAAATTTAGATTTTTTATCACTGGCCTACACACAATACCCCATAATTTCAAAGTGGCAATATGTTTTTCTAAATAGTCTAGGAAAACAAATGTCTTGAATCAATAAGTATTCAACCTCTTTGTTATGGCAAGCCTAAATAAGTAAATATGTGCTTAACAAATCACATAACAAGTTGCATGGACACTCTGTGTGCAATAATAGTGTTTAACATGATTTTTGAATGACTACCTCATCTCTGTATCCCACAAATATAATTATCTGTAAGGCCCCTCAGTCGAGCAGTGAATTTCAAACACAGATTCAACTACAAAGATCAGGGAGGTTTTCCAGTGCCTCGCAAAGAAGGTAGATGGGTAAAAAAAGAAACACTCATTGAATATCCCTTTGAGCATGGTGAAGTTATTAATTACACTTTGGATGGTGTATCAATACACCCAGTCACTACAAAGATACAGGCGTCCTTCCTAACTCAGTTGCTGGAGAGGAAGAAACTGCTCAGGGATTTCACCATGAGGCCAAAGGTGACTTTAAAACAGAGTTTAATGGCTGTGAAAGGAGAAAACTGAGGATGGATCAACAACATTTGAGTTACTCCACAATACTAACCTAAATGACCACTCTCCATATTTTCAAGCATAGTAGTGGCTGCATCATGTTATGGGTATGCTTGTAATCTTTAAGGACTGGGGAGTTTTTCAGATGGAAAAAAGAAACAGAATGGAGCTAAGCACAGGCAAAATCCTGTCTGCTTTCTACCAGACACTGGGAGATGAATTCACCTTTCAGCAGGACAATAACCTAAAACACAAGGCCGACTCTACACTTGAATTGCTTTCCAAGAATATAGTGAATGTTCCTGAGTGGCTGAGTTACAGTTTTGACTTAAATCTACTTGAAAATCTATGGCAAGACCTGAAAATGGTTGTCTAGCAATGATCAACAACCAATTTGACAGAGCTTGGAGAATTTAGAAAATAATTATGGGCGAATGTTGCACAGTCCAGGTGTGGAAAGCTGTTAGATTTACCCAGAAAGACTCGCAGCTTTAATCGCTGACAAAGGTGCATCTACAAAATAGAAACACCACTGTTGCTCTTCCACCTTACACCGCAGATGCGGAAGGCCGACATCGGCGGATTGAGACGCAGCCCATGCAAAAAAACATATTGATAGCTTAAACAGACAGATTTTTATGGACAATTTTTATATTTATTATGCTAATTTCATTTCTGCACAGACATCGACTCTAGGGCAATAAAGTGATAGGGACGTAAGAAAAGGACTGTATAACACATAGCACAACTACTATGAACAACTAACAATAGACAGATTGGAACTGGAAACACCAAACACAAGTTACAATAGTAACACCAACTCTGTCCACGCACTCCATTACACATGTCCACTTGGAGAGAAACTGAGGAGGCTCTGACCTGAGAAGGCAGAAGGGCTGTCAGGTGTCCGGCCCTCTAGCAACCTATCAATGGCCTGGTTTATGAACCCCCAGTCTCTCTGGCAATGTTGGGGGATGGGTGGAGTGAGATGTGATTAGAGAGGGACCGCACCACTGGTAGTGGGAATTCTCATAAATGACCGTTCTCTATTTCCTTTCAGCATAAGTACATCTCTATAGCTGAGATTCAGATTGCCAAGGAGGATGAGTTTCAGAAAACTCCACTGTCAGGGGTGAGTGCAAATGCATATCGCTGACCTATCACTGGTATATATGCAGGAATATCACTGTCCTAGAGAAAAGGCAACAAGTGTTTATTTTAAAAAGTATTATTTTGCATGTATTGTGTTTGTTTATAGGGAGAAGAGGATGTGGAGATGTGCTCCACTGAGCTGCTATACCAGGGCATTCTTCCCAGCTTGCCTCAGTACATGGTGAGTGTTCTGCTCCACTTGTATACTGATGAATATAGGTCTCCAGTCCATTTCTATGACTTCTAAACCCTTGGCAGAATTGACCTGTGACTCTTCTCCCTCTCAGATTGCCCTGCTGAAGATTCTGCTGGCAGCTGCCCCCACCTCCAAGGCCAAGACAGACTCCATCAACATCCTGGCAGATGTGCTGCCTGAGGAGATGCCGTGAGTCAGCTGTTTGATTTGAAAGGGAGCTGTATTCAGTTGAGTTACAATTGAAAGGGTTTGATTTGATACTGTATCTGCAGGACAACAGTGCTCCAGAGCATGAAGCTTGGTGTGGATGTTAACCGCCACAAGGAGATCATTGTTAAGGCCATCTCTGCCATCCTGCTGCTGCTTCTCAAACACTTCAAACTCAACCATGTCTACCAGGTACTGGCAACCCACACTCAACCACTACCACCACACACAGGCAAACTCTGACTTAGCCTCATCTACCAAGTATTGACAACCACTTAATAGGAGTGGTCATTTCTCACAAGCACCTCGAACTTGTGAATGGTCTTCCCTTGCCTTACCCTTCTGTTTCTTGTGGGTTTTTTTCAACAGTTTGAGTACATGGCTCAGCACCTGGTGTTTGCCAACTGTATTCCTCTCATTCTCAAGTTCTTCAACCAGAACATCATGTCTTACATCACAGCCAAGAACAGGTACGTTGGTGAATTTGAGCCATTTCAAGACCCAGATGATCAGGAAGATCTGTGACCCTTTTAGTAATCATCTCATTCTCTCTCCTGCAGTATTTCTGTGCTGGACTTTCCTTACAGTGTGGTGCATGAGCTCCCGGAACTTACTGCAGAGAGTTTGGTAAGTTGCAAACTCCATCCCTCACATAATTGAAATACATATTGTAATATGAGCTGCTGAACTCAAACAAACACCTAGGCAATGTTGTTGTAGAAGGGGGGGAAACACCAGGGTACCTAATGGAAGTGTTACAGTAATCAAAGGTTGGAGGTGAGGTGTTGGTAACAATTGGTCGGTTTGTCTGTGTTCTACAGGAGGCTGGAGACATCAACCAGTTTTGCTGGAGGAACCTGTTCTCCTGTATCAACCTCTTGAGGATCCTGAACAAGCTGACCAAGTGGAAGCACTCCAGAACCATGGTGAGGGAGTGACTCACCCACCCAAAACAATACAGAGTTGCTCTTATTCACTAGGACAGACATCAGTCTGGGATTCTTTTAGATCATAATTGCATACCTCGCACTTCTCTCTGTCAGATGCTGGTGGTGTTCAAGTCGGCTCCTATCCTGAAGAGGGCGCTGAAGGTCAAACAGGCCATGATGCAGCTGTACGTCCTCAAGCTGCTCAAAGTGCAAACCAAGTACCTGGGCCGCCAGTGGAGGAAGAGCAACATGAAGACCATGTCTGCCATCTACCAGAAGGTCCGCCATCGCCTCAATGACGACTGGGCCTACGGTAACGGTGAGTTGCTGTCGACACCAAAATCGACCCAGAAAGAGCCCGTTGAGTTTTTCAGTCAGTGATTGACATGATATGATGATTGGGAGACTCATATCTGCTATCACAGACGTAACCGTGAAACATTTCCCCACAATGACTGTGAACTGCTAAGTGTAAGCACCCCTACGTATGTCAAGTTACCCCATTACCCCAAGTAATGAGCTTCCATGTTTCTTTGACAGCAGACCTGGATGCGCGGCCCTGGGACTTCCAGGCAGAGGAGTGTGCTCTGCGCGCCAACATTGAGCGCTTCAACAGCCGCCGCTACGACAACAACCAGAGCAACCCTGACTTCCTGCCCGTGGACAACTGCCTGCAGAGTGTTCTGGGGCAGCGTGTTGACCTGCCGGAGGACTTCCAGATGAACTATGACCTCTGGCTGGAGCGAGAGGTCTTCTCCAAGCCAATATCCTGGGAAGAGCTACTGCAATGAGAACAGGGCTGGTGGTGGCAGGTGGTGCTATAAGGAGGTTTTCCTAACACCTCCCCTAGGTGGCAACAATAGTCTACATACCCACCTCTTTAAGTGCAAATATTGCTGAACAAGAATATCTGTTACTTAAAGACAGCATTCATAGAGCACTGCATTTGGTTGTGAAAACGATGCAGACATGAGTCCCAATAGCAAACATTATCCTTGTATTGTTGTCACCTCATGCAGAGAGGAGTAACAGTCAGTAATGGATATTTAGGAGGTAGAGGGTCAACAGCAAAGCCACCTAAATGTGGACCTTCTGCATTACCCCTGCACAGTTGGACCAATCATTTATAATCCCTGAATCCAGGCACTAGACCAGGGTTTCCCAAACTCTGTCCTGGGGCCCCCTTGGGTACACGTTTTGGTTTTTGCCCTAGCATTACACAGCTTGTTCAAATCATCAAAGCTTGATGATGAGTTGGTTATTTGAATCAGCTGTGTAGTGCTAGGGCAAAAACCAAAATGGCCAGGACCGAGTTTGGGAAACCCTGGGGTAGATTTATCCATTATCCCATGTAGAACCCTTGTTTAGTTTGGAACTGGACCTTTTACAGAGTGCTATAGTTCTTATCAGCCTTGTCCAACCTCCCAGGGTGGGGATGTTAACCCTTTGTATTCCTGACTTCTTACACACTTAACCCCATTCCTGGCTGTCGGCCCAGTACTTTGCCCTTCAAGCACTACAGTACAGTATGATAACCCTTAGGAACAAGTGCAAAATAACATGGTGTGTTTGTAAGGGAGAGAAAGATTGAGGTAAGGGTTTCTTGAGTGTGTGTACAGTATCTGTCTATGTCTTATGGTTACTGCTTTAACCTCCTGTTGATCAGGCTTTTGAATCCCTTTTGATGTTCCACTGTTCCATTATTACTCTACTCACTTAGTGTCCATTGGCTTGTATGATACACCTGTATACAACCCAGGCGTAGACCATTTAGTTTGGTATTAAGACAGTTTAATTAAATTTACAGACTAACGTTTTAACCTAAAGCAACAGGAAAACGTGCTGGCGCACTCCACAACCTGATTGAATAAGAACTTGGAAAATGTACTTTAATATTGTGTGTGTACACAGTATGTTTGAGAGTGAGGAAAGAAACAAAATGAGCCCTATGTTATTATTTGTGGCTCTCACTCTCAGTAAACTAGCTAGCAGGTGTTTTTTACTCAAGGGAACAATTTTGCCCACCTGATAACTCCTCAGATTCAAGGTAATTTTATAGTTGCATTGTGCTTATACTAATTTGCAGCTTCTATTGTTTTTTTGTCATAATGGTTATTCAATCTAAGATGGAGAAATGAAAACAGATGTTGGGAAAACCATTATTTATCATGGCTGTTTTACATTGTATGACTAAATACTGTATTAAAATAATGCCCCCTCTTGCCCTGTCATTTGTGTTTTTGCTTTATTTATAGACTGATATAACGGAATAAGACAGCTTTCTGTCAATAAACAACGTCTTGATTTATTTTCCCTTAGAGTACTATTTTGCTAACAACTACTGCTCTCACAGACTATCCACATTGGCTCTATGCCCATCCATAGGTCTCTAACCACTCAGACAACCTTCGCTGCTGCTAAAATGATTATTGATTTGATTTATTACTCAATTTTGCTGATGTCCATTGACTATTGATTGCCATTAGTATGTATCTATCCTACTACTGGTCACTATTACTCCTGTTTACATGTATATATTACCATTATTATATTACTGTAAGTATTTATATATTCCTACTACCAGTCACTTTTCAGCTCTGTTTACATGTACAGTACCAGTCAAAAGTTTGGACACACCTACTCATTTAAGGGTTTTTCTTTATTTTTACTATTTTCTATATTGTAGAATAATAGTGAAGACATCAAAATTATGAAATAACACATGGAATCATGTAGTAAGCAAAAAAGTGTTCTTCAAATAGGCACCCTTTGCCTTGATGACAGCTTTGCACACTCTTGGCATTCTCTCAACCAGCTTCACCTGGAATGCTTTTCCAACAGTCTTGAAGGAATTCCCACATATGCTGAGCACTTGTTGGCTGCTTTTCCTTCACTCTGCTGTCCGACTCCCAAACCATCTCAGTTGGGTTGAGGTCAGGGGATTGTGGAGGCCAGGTCATCTGATGCAGCACTCCAACACTCTCCTTCTTGGTAAGATAGCCCTTACACAGCCTGGAGGTGTGTTGGGTCATTGTCTTGTTGAAAAACAAATGATAGTCCCACTAAGCACAAACCAGATGGGATGGCGTATCGCTGCAGAATGCTGTGGTAGCCATGCTGGTTAAGTGTGCCTTGAATTCTAAATAAATCACAGACAGCGTCACCAGCAACGCACCCCCACACCATAACACCTCCTCCTTCATGCTTCACGGTGGGAACTACACATGCGGAGATGATCTGTTCACCCATACCACGTCTCACAAATACACAGCGGTTTGAACCAAAAATCTCCAATTTGGACTCCAGACCAAAGGACAAATTTCCACCGGTCTAATGTCCATTGCTCGTGTTTCTTGGCCCAATGGTGTCCTTTAGTAGTGCTTTCTTTGCAGCAATTCCACCATGAAGGCCTGACTCACACAGTCCCCTCTGAACAGTTGATGTGTCTGTGACTTGAACTCTGTGAAGCATTTATTTGGGCTGCAATTTCTGAGGCTGGTAACTCTAAGAACTTATCCTCTGCAGCAGAGGTAACTCTGGGTCTTCCATTCCTGTGGTGGTCCTCATGAGAGCCAGTTTCATCATAGCGCTTGATGGTTTTTGCGACTGCAATTGAAGAAACTTTCAAAGTTCTTGAAATGTTCCGGATTGACTGACCTTCATGTCTTAAAGTAATGATGGACTGTCGTTTCTCTTTGCTGATTTGACCTGTTCTTGACATAATATGGACTTGGTCTTTTACCAAATAGGGCTATCTTCTGTATACCCCCCCTACCTTGTCACAACACAACTGATTGGCTCAAACGCATTAAGAAGGAAAGAAATTCCACACATTAACTTTTAAGAAGGCACACCTGTTAATTGAAATGCATTCCAGGGGACTACCTCATGAAGCTGGTTGAGAGAATGCCAAGAGTGTGCAAAGCTGTCATCAAGGCAAAGGGTGGCTATTTGAAGAATCTCAAATATTAAATATATTTTGATTTGTTTAACACTTTTTTGGTTACTACATGATTCCATATGTGTTATTTCATAGTTTCGATGTCTTCACTATTATTCTACAATGTAAAAAATAGTAAAAACCCTTGAATGAGTAGGTGTGTCCAAACTTTTGACTGGTAGTGTATATCCTACTACCAGCCAAACGGCACCTAAAGGACTCTCAGACCATGAGAAACAAGATTGTCAAGCATCACATCTGGAGGAAACCTGGCACCATCCGTACAGTGAAGCATGGTGGTGGCAGCATCATACTGTGGGGATGTTTTTCAGTGGCAGGGACTGGGAGACTAGTCAGGATCGAGGGAAAGATGAACGGAGCAAAGTACAGAGAGATCCTTGATGAAAACCTGCTCCAGAGCACTCAGGACCTCAGACTGGGACAAAGGTTCACCTTACAACAGGACAACAACCCTACAGCCAAGACAACGCAGGAGTGGCTTCGGGACAAGTCTCTGAATGTCCTTGAGTGGCCCAGCCAGAGCCTGGACTTGAACCCGATGGAACATCTCTGGAGAGCAGTGGCGACCTGTCATTCAGGGCAGACTTCAGTGAGTTCAAGACACCTGGGAACTCTGAAAAAAACGAGCTCTGACTGGGAAAATACGTTTTGCACGGTCATCCAACTCGTAATTCCAAGTCGGGAACTCGAGCCTCTTTCTAGAGTTCCGACCTGAAGATCACTGACGTCATGATTTGACCTTGTTTTTTTTCAGAGTTCCCAGTGTCTTGAAAGCACCATAAATCCAGAGAATGCCAGACTTTGATGACAACATTTGCCCACAAGGACCGCCACGCCACCTTCCTGTTCAAGTGAGCACAACACAACAAGGTGAGTCCAAAAATGTATTGTATGCTGCTGCATAAATGATGTAATATGCCAGGGAGATATGTATACTGTACCTAAGAAAGTCATTCTAAGTGTATGTTGTGTAGTAAGCTGTTAGTAGGCCATGTGTTCAATACTAATGTATCTCAGAGAGCAAATGTTGTGGCGAGCCTCCATGAAATGAGCAGCCACAGGGTTTCTCTGGTCAAGAATCCTGATATTACTCCTGTGTTCTGCTATCCTTGTTTTCAGAGCCCGTTTCGTTGGTCCTACATAGCCTAGCATAGACGACAAATACACGTGATCAGGTATATCAAATGTTTTTGTGGAACACGTAATGATGCCCTTAATCTTAATGGCCTTGCCCATGATAGGGTGATTGAACATTGTGCATTTGTTCGTAAAGTTACACTGGGTTCATCGGCCACATCTGTAATTACCGTCCGGCACATTTTATAGGAAGGTGCTACGTGGCACCGGTGGAAGATCAGACCTCACCACCATTTGACTGATGTTGGGGGCACGTCTGAAGACCACCCGCGGGGGTTCTTTAAATGTATTTTTTCAGTTGTCGATCAGTGCTCAAGATGTGCCAGTGTTTTTTAATGATATGGTCGAACTGTTTGCCAAGTGGGGAGTACTGAAGGAAGCATTGAACGCGTTGGTCAGGAGGGCGGGTGGTTTGGGTGTGAGGCTGTCATCCTGTGTCATATTTTTATAACAATCCCTTGCGTCATGCAACCATTCCTCTGGGTAACCTCGCTGTCTGAAACGCGCATCCAGACTGTCGGCTTGTTTGTCATAGTCACTCTGTGTACTACACATCCATTGAATAAGGTACTTGTACTCGTGGTTCTTTAACTTACATCGTAGTTATGTTTTTTTTTTAATATTGTTTTATTCTATTATCTATATTATCTATATTATTATTATTATTATTATTATTATCACTGCATTATTGGGAAAGCGCTCTCAAGGTCAGAACTATTTTACACCTGTTGTATCCTATATGCACGTGGCGAATAACCACGATTCAACCACTTCCTATCAGCTCTCACGAACATACCAAGAAATGACAAGGAGTCCCACCTACCTCACTTCACAGAATCGAAACTCTTGTCTTTCTGGCAGAAATTAAAGACAGACTTGTTCCAGTCAGTCGGTATCAGTTTGTTCTCAGATATGGCAGTGTCTGGTATATCGGTCAGGATGGCCCACTTCAGCTGTCCACTCTGCCAGG